CAGGCATGTGCCACTACATTTGGCTAATAGTATCTTGTGATGCATAGAAAAAAATTACCATAGATATCTTATAGATTGATTTTGATTATTTAAAGCAATCAGGCAATCTACTTATGGTGTTTTGAACCTGAAATGTCCCCCACAGGCTCATGTTTTGGATGCTTGTGGGGGTACTGTAGAGCCTCCAGGAATTGGGGCTTGGTGGGCAGAAGTAGGTCACTAGGGGCAGGCCTCTGAAGATTATACACTTATGGTTCTGACCTGCATGCTCTGCCTCCTGATCAATGACACGTGAAGAGGCAGCTACTATGTGCTCTGCCACTGCAGACAGGGCTGCTCCCATACAGTGACTTCCTTGCTATGATGGACTGAAATCCCTCTGAAACTGTGAACCAAAACACACCTTTCCTCTTTAAGTTGTTTCTATCAGGCATTTTGTCATAAGGACAGGAAAGTAACTAATATAATACCCTTTGATACACTGTCTAGTGTTTTCCATTTCACCTGTTGGGCTCCTGTGCTGGTTAGTTTTTGTTAAATGACACAAATTGGAGGCACCTTGGAAGAAGTAACCTCAATGAGGAATTTCCCCCATCAGATTGGCTGTGGTCATGTCTGTGGGGCGTTTCCTTGATTGCTAATCAATGTGGGAGGGCGCATCCCACTGTGGGTGGTACCATCCCTAGGCAGGTGGGCCTGGGCTATATAAGAAAAGTAGTTGAGCAAACCAGTAAGCAGTGATCCTCCATGGTTTCTGCTTCAGTTCCTGCCTCTAGGTTCCTGCCCTGACTTCCCTCAATGATTGACTGTCACTTGGAAGAGTAGGATGTAAGAAACTCTTTCCTCTCCAAGCTGGCTTTCATCAGTGTTTTATCACAGAACAAAAAGTAGCTAGGACAGCCCCCTTCATGATTTTTGACAACAAAACCCCTTCTTTACATTTTTGTTCATCTCTGGATATTTTAATTTCCTCTCACTTTTGAAGGACAGTTTTTCTGGATGTGGGATTTTGAAAAATTAATTTATTGAATTTGAGCATGTGAGATGGGGGGTTGTGGGTGCCACAGCATGTGTGTGGAGATCAGAGGACAACTTCTGGGAATTGGCTTTCTTCTTCAATGTGAGTCCTTGGGATTGAACTCAGGTTGCCAGGTCTGGTGGCAAGCACCTTTACCTGCTGAGCCATCTCAGCAACTCAGCTATCTCCCTGGCTTGGATATGGAATTTTCACTTGACAATTCTTTCCTTTAGTATTTTTGAATAGAGATTACTCCCCATTATCTTCTGGACTTCTACGTTTCTGGTACAAAATTAATCATCTTGCTAAATATCCCCTGCAGGTGACAAGTCACTCCATTTTACCACTTTCACTGGTTTCAGCAGTGAAAACCAGTTTCTCTGGTTTTCAGCAGTGTTATTACGATGTGGGTCTCTTTGAGTTCTCCAAAGTTTATAGTCATGTCTTTCATTAAATTTCTGTCATTTTTTCAAATTATCTCTTCTCTGTTCACTGTCTTTTTTCTTACTTTAAAAAGGTTTTCTATATCTTGATATGTCTACTGTGTAAATATGTCTCTCTTAAAAAAATTTTTTTTATTACATTTATTTTTGTTGTTGTTGTTGGGGGAAACATGAAGGTTAGAGGACAACTTTCAGAGTCAATTCTCTGCTTCCACCACGTGGGCCCAAGGATCAAACTCAGGTGGCTGGCTTGGCACTGGTGCCTTACCCACTGAGCCATCTAGTGTTTCTTCCTCTGTATCTTCCTTTAGTGCTTTAGGTATCTCTAAAACAACTGTTTAAAACTCTTCGTCTTATAAATCTGCCACCTTATCCTTAAAAAGAGTCTCTTTGGGTTGCAACCCTTTTCCCTTGAATGTGGCATAATCACATTTCTTTGTATGCCTTGTGGTTTTTAGTTGTTATTTAAAACCAAATATTGAACCTAAAAGTGTAGTTCCTATGGATATCAGATTTTCCCATTTCCTCAGAATTTGCTGATGTTTTTACTTAAGGTCTTTTGGGGGGTTTTCTGAGCCTTTACCATTTTTCCCGAGTCCGCTAATTCCCACCATATCTGTAGTTGTTTCTGAATGTTCTAGTGTAGCTCTCAAAACTGAAAAATGGGAAGCAAGAGGTCTGGAAGAGTGCAGGCTCTTTAAGGGACATGGCCTCAGGGAAGAGGTGAGGGGCCTGGAAAAGGGGAGAGATGCAGCAAGGGCCTTTATGAGCAGAGGCTCAAATCAAGAACCAGAACACAGACCCACAAACCACAGGCGAGCTGCTGCCTAACAGTGCTGCCAAGTTGAGAGAAAGATGACTGAAAACTGCTCTCTGGATTTCTCAGGCCCCCAGAAGTTACAAGCCTTCAGTAGACCCCAGAGTTCCAAATAGCAGTATCGTGCATATTCTATTGGTGTAACTAGTGACCAAGCAGTCAGGCAGACTGACTACTGGCACCTCCCACTTCCAACCTCCATCTCTCCAGGATCCTCAGTCTTTTTTTTTTTTCTTTGAGACAGGGTCTCATGTAGCCCAGGTTGATCTCTAACTCACTGTGTAGCTGAGGCTGGCCTTGAACTCCTGATCCCCCTGCCTCTGCCTCCCAAGTGTTGGTATGTACAGGTGTGTGCTGATATACCCAGCTCTAGAGTCCCCACTCTTCAGCTTTATTTTGGAAAGGTATTTTTGCTGCGTATTGAATTCTAGGTTGATGGAACTTTTTATTTTGTTTTGTTTTATTTTTATTTTACGTATATGAGTGTTTTGCCTGCACGTAAGTACTCGTGGAGGCCAGAAGAAGGTGCTGGATCCCAGGGAACTGGAGTTAGGGATGGGTGTTAGTTGCCATGTGGGTGCTAGGAACTGAACCTGGGTCCTCTGCAAGAGCAGCCAATGCACTTAATGGCCGAGTCATTGCTCCAGCTCCTTTTTTTTTTTTTTTTTTTTTTTTTTTGTTCCTTTATTAAGGTGATGTCATGGCTGGTGATCGAGCCTTTTTAACACATGGGCCTTTGGGGACCCTTCCTCATGAAGCCTCTTCTCTCTATCCAATGGGAATGTAGTGAACCCCAGCCCTGTGAGAGTCCTGACTCCAGTCCTCTCTGGCAATGATGCTTTCTTTGGCCTCCTGTAGCTTCTCACCTGCATGCAGCCTGCTCAGCAGTGCAAGACTGGAGACTTCTGCAGAGCTCTGGAAAGAATCACTCCATCTGCAGAGCTCTGGAAAGAATCACTCCATCTGCAGAGCTCTGGAAAGAATCATCACTCCATCTTGCCCTCCCCCAGTTACTATAGTGTGTTAAGCTGCTGTGAGCTGAGTGAGAAGGCTGGGCTTTGATGCTTTTTAAGCTGACCATCTCTGTGGGCTTCCATACCATCCCAGAAGGAGGCAGTGATAGGGTTAGAGCAGGACATGAACTTTATAGAAAAGCAGAAGAGGAACTAACCCCTGAGCTATAACAACACAGAAACTACATGGACTATTCACTGAAAACAGGGAGTGAAGTGAACAGATGGTTCTGAGGACATTCCCTCAACCAGCATATTCACACCCACACTACTGAGCTGATGAGATGGCATCTGCTGTGGTTTGAGTGTCCCCAAGGCTTCATATGTTGAAATCTCATCTCTATTGTAAATTATCAAGAGTACAGAAACTTAATCTAACTATGGTGTTTAGAGACAGGGCCTTTGGGAAATGGTCAGGATTAGACAGGTGATCAGGGCGAAGGCTGCCGGAAAGAAGTCCATCGTTAGATACAAACCCTCAAGCTTCCAGGACTATGAGCTAACTCTCTCTTTTTATTTATTCTATTTTTTAAATTTATTTTTTGGTCTTTTTGAGACAGGGTCTCCCTGTAGCCCCAACTGTCCTGGAACTCACTATGTAGACCAGGCTGGCCTTGAACTCAAGAGATCTGCCTCTGCCTCCCGAATGCTGGGATTAAAGCTAAACAAGGTTAAAGCAGATTAAAGCTAAATGGGGTTAGCTTGCCCCACATATTTTGTTAAATGAACACTATTTATGCCATCTGGAAATTATAGACAGATTCAAGGTAGACACTGACTTCCCTTGAAGAAGAGCCCCAGACCCAGGTGGTGACCCATATCTCCCCAATGTCTTAGGAAAGCTGTCAGTCATCCCCTCAACCTAAAGGAAGCATACCTAGCAGGCACTGAAAACAAAGCCCCCAGCTTCCCCACAAGGAATTCAAAGTACATCTCAGGAATTTGTGGTTAGAACTGTTCCTTTGATCAACAGTGGGAAAATTCCTCATATAAACAGCTCCCAAACTGGGCCAGGCAGCTCACACCTTTAATCCTAGCACTCAGGAGGCAGAGGCAGGCAAAAGTCAACCTGGACTACATAATGAGTTCCAGGCCAGCTAGGGCTACAGGGAGATCCTGTCTCCAAAAACCAAACAAAAATGGAGAGCCAGGCTTTAATCTAACATTTTTAATCTAACCTTTAATCTAACACTCCTTTAATCTAACACCTTTAATCTAACACTCAGGAGGCAGAGGCAGGCAGATCTCTGAGATCGAAGTCAGCCTATTTACACTGTGAGTTCCAGATCAGCCAGGGCTCAGTGGCTCTAAGTGAATGTCTCAGCGGCCTGCTGAGTACTTAGAAACTGTTCCTTGACATCTTTGCTCTGGGCTGGGCTTTCCACTCTTTTACAGACAGTAGACACACATAACAAAGCATTCATAATAACATACCTCAGATTTTCTAATCTGTCCAGTCAGTTTTCATATTGACCCTCATTACAGTGTTTCCATGATATTATATGGTCATGGCCAGGAAATATATTTTCTTTGACTTAAAAAACAACAACAAACCATGTACTCCTTTTAACATGTGAAGACACTGCATTTTTCTCACGTCTTCAGCTATTTCTTGGCAGTATAATAAAGGCCCAAGACAGTTTCGATGAAAGTTGAACCTCCTCAGAACGAAATCATCCCTTGCATAACTCTACCATATTGTCCATTACCTGGTTTATTATTGTGTGAATACTGTCATATCTGTTTCCAGTAATGTCGCCATATGGAACTTTTAAATAGGAGCTAGTCATTTGGTCAAAAACACAGCACACTGAGAAACATAAGAGAGCTTCAAAGAACTCCAGGAAAACCAGCTGAAAAGATAAGAGAGCATGGGATGGGGCCTCATTCACTCTGACACACGTAGAGATGCATCAGCAGATGACCTGGTGGCCATGTCTTATTCAGTCATTATTTCTTGTGTGTGTGTGTGCATACACATGTGCAGATGCACATATATGTGCATGAAGGACAGAGGTCTACATTGGGTGTCTTTCTCTATTACTTTCCACCTTATTTTTTGAGAAAGGGTCTCTCACCGAACTCCAAGCTCACTAATTTGGCTAGACTGGCTGACCAGCAAGCCCCAGGGATCTTCCTGTCTCTGCCTCCCCAGTGCTGGGATTACAAACAGCAACCACCAGACCTAGCTTCTTTACATGGGTTCTGGGGTCAAACTCTGGTCCTCATGCTTGTACAGCAAGTACTTTATCAACTGAATCATCTCCCCAGTCCCTTTCTAATATTGATATCTGTTTGTAAATTTTATTTTTATTTTATTTATTGTTTCTATTTTATGTGTATGAGTATATTGCCTTTCGTATGTAAGTGCATCTGTGTCATGTCGTGCAGTGCCCTCAAAGGTCAGAAGAGGGTGTCAAATTCCCCTGTAACTGGAGTTATGTACTGTTGTTAGCCACCATGTAGGTGCTGGGAATTGAACCTGGGTCCTCGCCATCTCTCCAGCCCCTGTAAAATTTATTATTTATTTATTTATTTATTTATTTATTTATTGATTGATTGATTGATTGATTGACAGAAACTCCCTGTAGCTCCAGCTGGCCTGGAACTTGCTATGTAGACCAGGCTGGCCTCAATCTCATAGAGATCCACCTGCCTCTGCCTCCCAAGTGCTGGGATTAAATTCATGCATCACCATGCCCAGCTTATCTCCAGTTTTTAAAATGCAATTGTATATATATGTGTGTGTATTCATATATGCTTTATGAATATTTATATATAAGCACATGAAGATACATATTGATTTTTGTAAACATAAAACACAAACATAAGAAACATAAACTTAAGATGGATTTATAGCAACACTTCACTAACCTCAAGTTCAAAGTTGCTGTCAGTTACATCATATACAAAAGGACTGTCTTCTGCTATCACTGTCATAAACTTGGTTGCACTTAAGTCTTTATTTATCATTCTGAAGTCCTGTAAAAAAAAACAACAACCCACCAACCATGGCAAATAAGTATATATTTCAATGTCAATGACAGTGACATAATACTTTAACAAATGTGTCTGGAGTCAGTATCTTAAAGACAAATTATTTTAGAACTGGGCATGGTAGCACACTCCTATAATCCCAGCACCAGGGAGGTTGAGGTAGAAGAATTGCAAGTTTGAGGCCAGACTGGGCAAGATTTTGAAGTAAGAACCATTTTGGGGGGCTGGGGAGATGGCTCAGTTGGTAACACACTTACATAGCAAACCTGAGGACCTGAGTTCTATCCCCAGCACCTGAGTAAAAAGTTGGGTAAGCAGCAAACGCCTATAATCCCAGCACTGGGGAGGTAGAGACAGGTGGATCCCTGGGGCTTGCTGGCTAGTCAGTCTAGCCTAATCATACTCCATGTTCAGTGAGAAAGCCTGACTCAAAAAATAAGATGGAGCGCTGAAGAGATGGTTCAATGGTTAAGAACAGACACTGCTCTTTTAAAGGACCAGGTTCAATTCCCAGCACCCATGTTGGATGGCTCACAGCTGTCTGTAACTCCAGCTCCAGGGAGGCTGATGCCTTCTGGCATCCACAGGTATCTTTACTCACATGCACACACACACGAACAACTAATACTGCTATTTGTATTTGTCCCTGTAGATCTTTCCTCTAAACTAGACAAAGCATCATTTTTACACAAACAGGATGGTGAAAAGAGGAAAGTAGATGATCCAGGTATGAAGTGCCAATATACTTCCATGGGCTGGAGAGTACACAGATGAAGAAAGGAACAGGAGTCGGGGAGTGGGCTGCCACTGAGCACAAGCCTGGCAAGCAGAGGCGCCAGGGTCGGGCTGAGCACAAAAAGACTGCTGAGGGCGCCTGCAGCCCTTTTAATACTGAAGCTTTGCTCTTGACAGACTGACCCACAGAACGTGGCCAGGATAACACTTGGTTCCCCGAAATCATTGTGCTTTGCTGAAAAGAAGGGCTGAGTGGAAGTGGGCCTTGAGGAAAGCCCTGCTCCCATGCCCACCCCACCCTTCACTGTTCCAAGACCCAAGTGAACCTGATTCATGTCCCGTACAGGACCTGGCTGGAAGCAGTCCTGGCTTGGAAAACTGAACAGCCAGGAGGAAAAGGTGTGTCTGTGCTCACAGCTCGCAGTGGAGTGGTTTCCTGGCTGACGCCTCTACAGCAAAATCAGTTCACTGACAAATGCCACCCTCCGCAAAGAGCTGCAATGTACTTTACAGTGCTGCATTCCTGTGTGTGAGTGATAACCAAAACACAGGACTTGAAGGAAACAAGAGCAACATAAAAGAACAAAGAAAAATACCATGCAGCCTTCCTCCTCTAAGTCACTCATTTCTGCAGTGGGTAAATTACATCCATGTCAAAAACAAACCAATGGGTACAGGAGAGCTGGCTCAGCAGTTAGAGCACACACTGCTCTTGCAGAGGACCTAAGTTCAGTTCCTAGCACCCGCACTGGGCAGCTCACAGCTGCAGCTGCCTGTAACCCCAGCTCCAAGGGGACTCAATGGCCTCAGTGGCCACCTGCACTTTGTGTGTGTGTGTGTGTGTGTGTGTGTGTGTGTGTGTGTGCAGGCAAAACACTTGTACACATAAAAAATATAAATAAATAAATATTTTTTCAAAGTAGAAAGAGGGACTGGAAAGATGGCTCAGCAGTTAAGAGCACTGGCACCTACATGGTAGCTAACAACGGTCTGTAACTACAGTTCCAGAGGAATCCAATACCCTCTGACCTCTATGGGCATTGTATGACATAGGTGCACGTACATACATATAGGCAATACACTAATACACATAAAATAAAAATAATAAATAAAAGTATTAAAAAATAAAGTAGAAAGAATGAGTATTAAAAAGAGGAAGGGGAAGGGGAAGGGGAAGGGGGAGAGCACTTCCTAGCTTGTGCAAGGCCCTGGGTTCCATCCTTTGCACTGACATTTAAAAAAAGAAAAGAAAACCAGGCATGGTGGTATAATCCTGTAATCCTAGCATTTAGGAAGCTGAGGAGGGAGGATCAGGAATTCAAGGCCAACCTGGACTACAAGAGACCTTGTCTCAAAAGCAAAGAAAGAAAAAAGAGGAGGAGGAAAACAAGCTGGTCTTGATCACTCACACCTGTAATCCCAGCACTCATGAGGCTGAGGCAGAAGGATCACTGTGAGTTCAAGGGCAGCATGTGGCATATATTCTGAGTGCCAGGCCAGCCTAGGCTAGCTACACAGTAAGATTCTGTTTCAAGCAACAAGAACAATGGCAACAGAAACAAATAACAAAAAAGAAATCTTTGAAGAATTACTAAATTACTAGGCTATCAGGGCACACAAGATGGCTCACTGGATAAAAGCATTTGCCTTACAAGCCTGAAGATCTGAGTTTGATACCTGGACCCAAGGTAGATGGAGAGAACTGAGTCTTGAGTCTTGTTGTCCTCTGACCTCCACATGTATGCCCCTGTACACACACACACACACACACACACACACACACACACACGCACCACAACTTGCCAGGTGAGGTGGCATACACCTCTAAACCCAGCATTAAAGAGGCAGAGGTCAGTGGATCTCTATGAGATGGAGTCCAGCCTGATCTACATAGTGAGTGCCAGGCCAGTCAGAACTACAGAGAGACCTTGTCTTGAAAAAAAATTAAATTAATTTTAAAATGACTAGGATATCAACTCATTATAAAAATTGATAAAAGGAACAATTGAGCATCTGTCCCTTCTTTCTTGTATGAACTGTATTTCAGAATACTCAAATGAACGATGAGGTTAAGTCTATCTTTAAATAATTTTCACAGAAGAGAACTGAAGGGAAGGCTCAGCAGTTAAGAGTATTTGTTGCTCTTGCAGAGAACCTGGTTTTGGTTCCCAGCACCCACATGGTGACTTTCAACTGTCCTCCAGTTATAGTTACTCTGTGACTCCAGGTCCAGGGACTCCAGAAAACCTCTTCTGGCCTCCACAGGCAATGCATTCACATGGTATACACACATGCACTTGGGCACAAATCCATACACATAAAATACATAAATATTAAATGGTAAATAATTCTCACAGATAATATGAAGGAGGCTGAGGAGACATGGCTCAGCATTTAAGAGAACTTGCTACTCTTGCAGAGGACTTGCATTTAGTTCCCAGTACCCACATGGAGAGTCACAACCACCTATAACTCTAGATCCAGGGGACCTGTTACCTTTTTCTAGCCTCTGAGGGCACACACCCCCCCCCACACAAAATTAAAAATTAAAAAAAAGGTAGATCTTGAAAATTATCATTGTACTGTCTCTAGTGAAATAATGAATGCTAGCTATTGAATGACTACTGCTAAGGCCACTAGTGACAGTTTGTGGAAAAGCATAAAGGATCAGACTGATGCCACATCAATCCCAGCACCACTAAAAGGAAACATATTGGGAAAAATGCATAACCACTGCTGGCTTTTGCCAGAAGACACAACATCTGAATCTAATAAAGTCTCTAGCTCTGACTGGCACTCTCGTGGATTGTGGGGATAAGAACACGTCAAACACCAACATGAGGATGCAGTTGATCAAGACCAGGATGTCTGACCTTTGCAAGGACAAATGACACTGTTTCTTCAGTAATAAATGGCATGAAGAAAACAAATTAACAGCTATATAATATTCCATTTCTCAAATCTTAAAAAATTATTTATTTTTACTTTGTGTATGAGTGTTTTACCTACATATCTGTAAATGCACCTGTGTTGTGCAATTCCCAAAGAGGCCAGAAGAGAGCATCAAATTCCCTGGAACTGCTTCAGACAGTTGTTAGCTGCCAGTGGGTGCTGGGAACCAAACTTCAAGAGCAGCCAGTGTTCTTAACTGTTGAGCCATCTCACCAGCCCAAATCACATACTTACAGAAAAGACTTATTTCATTTTTATGTGTTTGTGTGTCTGCCATGTGGCTGTGGGCACCCATGGAGTCTAAAAGACGGCATTGGATTCCCTGTATCTGGAGTTACAGACAGGTGGTTGTGAGTCACTTGACATGAATGCTAGAAACCAAACTCAGATCTTCTGCAAGAGCAGTACATATTCTTAACCATTGAGCCATCTCTCCATGCAGCACGTACTTTTTTTTTTTTTTTTGGTGTTTTTGAGACAGGGTCTCCCTGTATACCCAGCTGGCCTGGAACTCACTATGTAGACCAGGCTAGCCTTGAACTCAAAGAGATCCACCTGCCTCTGCCTCTCAAATGCTGAGATCAAAGGTGTGCACCACCATGCCTGGCTTTGTGTTTTTTTGTTTGGTTGGGTTTTTTTTGCATCAAATACTTTTAAAAACACATTTTCCATATTTAGACACTAGGTTATTGTCAGTTTTATATACATAAAATTCTGTTAAAGCTTTGAAGTACTCTATATTCAATTATTTCAGTTTCATTGTTTGTATTCCCACAAGTACCAATTAAAAGTATCGTGGAACAAAACTAGCAATAGTCAGTTTGAGAATGTTTTATAAATTTTTCAAATTAACAACTTGGGCATTTTGCAGTGTTCGGGGTCCAAAAAATTCCCTGAATTGACCACTCGGACACTGAGACTCAGGAAAACTTAACTGCTTTATTGAAACTGACCAGCCGGGGACGCAGGCAGGCTCGGGAGCTGCACTGCAACACAGAGCCATGGAAACACAGGGTCTGTAAGCATAAAAACTGCAGAGCAGGGGATTTCTATGGAAACCATAAACAGATGTACCAGGAAAGGGTTTGAACAATCTAGGGCTGATTTCCAGAGCCTTAACCTATGCAGCCACTGGCTAGCTTACCTGGGGCAGAATATTCTTCCTCTTCTGCCCCAGAACATTTCCATAGAACATAAACAGATGTACCAGGAAGGGGTTCGAAAGATCTAGGGGATTTCCAGAGTCAGACAGAGGGCTGCTCTTTCTCAGAGGACAGGGAGGGGGTCTGAGGGGCACTCTCCTTCAGCAGTTCTCACTAGGTAGCCCAAGATGGCCTTGAACTGATCCTCCTGCCTCAATCTCCCACATGCTGAGATGAAAGGTGTATACCACCACACCTCGTTCATACCACCACACCTGGTTCAAACTAATCCTTTGTTTGTTTTTTGAGACAGGGTCTCCCTGTAGTCCCAGCTGGCCTGGAACTTGTTATGTAAACGAGGCTGACTTTGATCTAACAGAGATCTACCTGTCTCTGCCTCCTGAGTGCTGGGATTAAAGGTGTGAGCCACAACACCCAGCAAAATTAATACTTTTTAAAATAGTTTTCCTAGTAATAATTTTTTGTAGTGTTAGGAATTGAACCCAGGGCTTGTGTATGCCAGGCAAATGTATTACCACTAAGCTACATCCCACCTCTAATGAACAATAATTTTAAAAAATGACATTTAGGGCTGGCAAGATGGCTCAGGGGGTTAAAAGTGCTTACTGCCAAGCCTGATGACCTGAGTTTGACCTCCAGGACCCACATGGTGGAAGAAGAGAGATAATTCCCATAAGTCGTCCTCGACCTCCACACATGTGCTATGACACACACATACACACACATACACACACACACACACACACACACACACACGCACGCAATCTCTCATCTTTTCCGTGACTATGTCTGCAGAAGTGAAGACACCGTAGGGTTTAGGTCATCCTTTCTCCTGTTTGAGCACATTGGCAAGCATCCCTGTTCCTTTGCCTCCTGCTATCAAAGACCATTTGCTGTCAAAGGAAGAATTCGATGACTGTGAAGTCACCACAGATATTCTCATTATTTATATATCATGGTTTTCTTTAATTAAAATGCCTATTCATATAAAGACAACATCAAACCTGAGAGTCTTTAAACTTACTTTCAACATCCAAAGGAAATACCTCATCTTCATTGTAAGCTCTTGGGGCGGGGTTTCATTTGGCCTGCAGTAGACTGTGTAGATCTCCCAGGACTTACCAATATAATTCATTGAGTAGAGTGTCCGCTGTTGCTCACTGAATAAATGACCTAAAATTACAACATTCAGAAATCACTGCAGGGCTGTCTAGGGGAATGGCTCAGTATACAAAGGTCTGCTGTGCAAACACGAGGACCAGAGTTCGGATCCCTAGCACCCACATAAAACCTGTTAGGGGGCTGGAGAGATAACTCAGTGTTTAAGAGCACTTGCTGCCCTTGCAGAGGACTGCAGTTCAGTTCCCAGCATCCTAGCAGCTCGAAACTGCCTGTAACTCCAGCTCCAGAGGAACCAACAGCATCTTTTAGCATCTATGTACAGCAGGCACACATATGGTACACATACATACATGCAGGCAAACACTCATACACATAAAATAAAAATAAGTGAATCTTTAAAGAGAACAAGCATACCTGGTTGAGTCTAGTGACCTGCCTGTAAATCCCAGTACTCAAGAAGCAGATAGGCAACACCTGGCCAAACTGGCTAGCTAGACTACCTGACTCTGTGAGTTCTGGCTTCAGGGAGAAACTCTGCCTCATAAATAAAGTGGAAAGTAAAGGAGGAAGACACCCAATATCTCTGGCTTCCATACACATGTGCATGTTTACCTCACACATATATGCCCATACATGCAAACATGTATAAAAATGATAACAAACAGAATTCCATTGTCTTTGTATTTACCTTTTACCTGGCAGGCATGTGGGTGAATGTTCTCAGTCATGAGTTTTGTAAAACACAGAAAGAGTGATGGACTTCTATTCCTATGGTTAAAAAGATCATAATTACTCCTCCTTCTGGGAAAGGGAGCTTAATCCTCCTCTTTTGAAGTGTGGGCTAGACTTAACAACTGACTTCAACATGCAGATTATAGAAAGAGAAATGTAGTGAACATACCGAAGAAAAAGCTACCTGGTAACATTTTAATCTGTGAACAGGATTAACATCACGCGCCATACTGACATTGTGTGCTACCAATATGATATAAGAAGAGTAGTTCAGCTTGGGAGATGGCTCAGTGGGAAGAGTGCAAGCATGAGGACCTAGGTTCAAATCCTCAGAACCCACATAAAGCCAGGTGTGGTGGCATGTGTCTGTAATCCCAGAATCCTACCAAGAGACGGGAAGTGGAAACAGAAGGGTTCCCAGATGCTTGTGGGCCGTCCCGGTGGCTTACACAGCAGCGAACAACAAACAGACCTTGTCTCTGACAAGGCAGAAATTGAAAACTGACACCTGAGGTTGTTCCTTAACCTACACACACACACACACACACACACACACACACGCATACTGTGGTACACACACATCTGTATTCACACAAAGGAACACACATGCATACATACACCATACACACACAAAAAGATTTCAAAAGTTCACCACCATAGTAATGCTCCCAAAATTTAGCACCTCAGGATAATTAGGAAGAAACTTAACAGTGCAAGCCAAAACCATGAGACACTCTGCCAAATACCCAAACTTTTTTTTAAGATGGGAAGGTTGTGAAAGACAAAGGATAGGTAATCATCACAGACTCGGGGGAGTCTGAGGAGACATAGAGGCCAAAATGCAGTGTGGGCTCCTGGAAAGGGCCATGGAAAAAGTGGGGACTCCTGGCTGGGGATGCAGCTTAGTGGTGGAATACCTGCTCAGCATGTACAAGGCCTTGAGTTCAAGGATACTGCAGCAGTGTTAATTTCTTACTTTTGATGAATGTACTGTGGTTAGGTAAGATGTCAACATTAGGGGAATTTGGGTGAAGAGTCCACAGGAACGCCACCTGCTTAATACTTCTGAAAACCTAATTATATATGTAATATATGTTAGATTAGTATATACACTATATGTTAAATTAGTGTGTATATAACATATATATGTTATATATTATATATGTTTATATATACACAAAGACAGGATCTCATGTAGCCCAATCTGGCCTTGAATTCATTATATAGCCAAAGATGATCCTAACTTCTTTATTTTTTAGATTTATCTTATTTTTATTTATGGATGTATGTATGTGTACAGGTGTACAGGTGCCCACAGAGGCCAGAAGAGGACATCACATTCCCCAAGAACTTGAGTTATAGGCAGTTGTGAGCTACCCAATGTGTGTGCTGGAGACTGAACTCTGTCAGCAAGCACTTGAGCCATTTCTTTGGCCTCAAACTTCACTTCTGATTCTCTGGCCTCCACCTCCCGAGTTCCCGGGATTATAGGTATGTGCTACCCAAGTCCTTATATACTGGGACTTCATGCATGCTAGGCAAGCACTCTACCAATTGAGCTCATCGCTAGCCCTTAAAATTATTTATTTGTTTATTATTATTATTGTTATTATTGTTATTATTATTATTATTATTTGCGACAGGGTCTCCTTGTAGCCCCAGCTGGCCTGGAACTCACTATGTAGACCAGGCTGGCCTCAAACTCACAAAGATCCGCCTGCCTCACCATGCCCGGCCAAGATGATTTTTTTTAAGTCACTTTTTGTCTGAGAAAGACAGGAAATTCTGACCTAAGAAGGCAGAATTGATAGTGATTACTTCTGAATAAAGGTCTAAGAGTCATTTGCAGTATTGAAACAACTCAGATATGGAGAGTTTTCAAAGTTTTTAATCTAGTTGATTTCATGGCTTTGTGGATGAAATTTGTGGAGAACCTTTGCTCCTAGTCCTTCATTTCAGAGCTATGTAAAAACAACCATGATTACTGCTGAGGACAGTGTAACTACAGGACAAGGGAGCTCTGCTGCTGACCCTTTACAGGGACACAGCAGGTGTACTTACTGGTATTCTTTGTGATGAATGTGGTAAGCCAACTGCAGGAGGTAATTCAAGAAAGTTCTCAAGAGTATAGTTCTAAATGGAGAGTGAATTTCTTCAACCGGTATGTCATTATAGGCTGGAACAAGGAAATTAGAGAGGAGATTAACCAGCAGCAAAGAGTTTTGTTACTTTGTAAGACATTTATATCCCCAGGTCTTTCAAACTTGTTTGGGTCACAATGTGACTACTGCTTTTAATTCTAAATGGATGAGAGAGTGTATGTAGTGTGTATTTGTGTGTATGTGTGATGTATATATAGTGTGGTATGTGGTATGAGTATATATATATGAGGTGTGTCATATGTGATGTATGTATATGGTATGGTGTGGTGTGTGTGTGTATGTGTGTGTGTGTGTGTGTGTGTGTGTGTCTCTAGCTATATATAATCCAGGCTTGTCTGGAACTCTAAATCCTCCTATAACCTCCTGAATGCTAGGAATACAGACATGTACCATTGTGCCCCTAATACTAAATGTATTTCAAATATGTTTCTAAATTCTTAAATTTGAAATAAATGGGCATGTTCTCTAATTTTAAAAATATGTATTTTAATTATATTGGTGGAGGGGCATGTGCACATGAGTGTAGGTGCCTGTAGAGGCCAGAAGAGGGCATCAGATCTCCTGGAGTTGGAGTTGTAGGAAGTTGTGAGCTGCCTGACATTGGTGCTGGACTGAACTTGGATCCTCTGCAAGAGAAGCATACTTTCTTAAGTGCTGAGCTATGTCTCCAGCCCCTTTCTCTAATATTTTTCAAGTAGATAATCTGAGACTTTCAGTTCTTCCTCTGAGAATTCATCTGAAAGGAACAAAACCGTCAAGTCTGTTAAATTCATTGAATGAAGCTTCTAATTTGAAATCCAAGGCAATCTTAATTTTACCCAATGCCTTTTTAAGAATCTTCTAAGCCCTTCCTGATCCTTTTTGCTTCTGACCTAACAATTTAGTACTTTTTCCCTGATAGATGGGGTGACACAAAATTTTCTGTGAGGGCCCAACAGTAAATACATGAGGCTTTGTAGTCTGACTGTCACAACTACTGAGCTCCTTGGTGTAGGATGAAACCAGCCACAGGTAGTACACAAAAAAATATGCTGGCTATGTTCCAGGAAAGCTGTAGTTACAAGCACTAGTCTAGGCTGGATTTGGCCAATGGCCATACTTTTAGATCCCTGCTGTAGGTGATCTTGGACTGTTGCTGTCACTGCCAGAATGCTGTTTCTGTGGGTATGCTGTAGCATGTAGTACAGGGCATGAACTGATGGTAGGATTCCCCTCCCATCTTTACCTTCTCTCTCTCTCTCTCTCTCTCTCTCTCTCTCTCTCTCTCTCTCGTGTGTGTGTGTATGTGTGTGTGTATGTGTGTGTGTGCTGCATGCATATGAGTGTGTGCATGTGCATGCCTGCATGGGCAGATGCCTGCTGAGGTCATACCAGGACATTGGGGCTTCTCTATCACTCTCTGCCTTATTGTCCTGAGTCCCCCACTGCCACCCCGTGTCTATACCTCCACCCAATGCTGGGGTTCCAGGAACATGTAACCATGCCTGGATTTTTATGAGGGTACTGGTGATTTGAATCAGGTCCTCATACTTGTGCAGAAAGCATTCTTACCCCCACTGAGTGTAGGGAATAATACAGCAGGCACTCAGATTGATTGTCTAGGCCTCCCGGCTACCCTACCCCTCAAACCAGAAGTTTATGTTAGGATGAAAATTCACGGGCAGGCTGCATATGTGTTGATGTCCATCCATCTGGAGGGTCCCTAAATAACAAGCTGATGGGGGAGAGAGAAGCTAGCAGGGAAGCCTTTGTTGCAGGATATGGCCATAGGGGAAGGGAAGAAAGGATACCCTATAAGGAATGAAGATGATGTCTGGGCAAAATTGTGTGCCCAGAGTACTCAGTCAATGAGGAACTGGGGGAGGGACCTGTGTAATAGGGGATAAATTGCTGTAACTGACCCATGTGTATTTTCATGCCAAGACACCCATTTTAAACATTATTTTTTTATTGCTTGGTAATTTATACATGTATAAAATATGTTTTGATCAACTCTACTCCACATTCCCTCCTCTCCAGTTTCTCCCCTATTCACCCCACCACTTTTCCCTCTCAACTTCATGTGTTCATTTTTCAAACCCACTGAGTTCACTTCACTTAGTGCTGTCTGTATGTACATGGATGTGGGACCATCTACTGGAGCGTGGGTAGTCTCTGAGGTGCCAAATCCCTAAAGAAAACTGACTCTCCCTCCCCCAGCAGCCATCAGTTGGCAATAGTTCCTCAGGTGGGGGTGGAATTTCATGAGCCCCTCCTCCATCTGTGCTGAGATTAGAGCTAGCTTGATCTCGTGCAGGTTTGTGCATGCAGTCCCAGCTGCTGTGAGTTCACGTGTGCAATGCCCTTCTCATGTCCTGCAAATACTGTTTCTTTGCAGATGTCTACTACCTTGTATACCAACCTTCCTACTCCCTTCCTCCATGAAACCTGAACCTAGACACCCATTCTTTCAAGACCATCATTAAAAGTCACTTCCACTGCCCTGTTTTGTCTCCACATCCATTCATTTGTGTTTGGGCAGAGACATTTATTATTTACACTGAGGAATAAACCATCACCCCAGACCCTCTCTCAATATTTCTTGGCTCATTTCAATCTGACAGTATGGTAGACCATTTGGTCTAGTTTGCTTTCTGTTGCTGTGATAAACACCACGAGCAAAAGCAACTTGAAAGGAAAGGGTTTATTTCATCTTACACTTCCGGGTCACAGTCCATGACTGAGGGAAGTTAGGAAAGGGGCTCCAGGAAGGAACCTGGAGCAGAGACCATGGAAGAACACTGCTGACTGGCTTGCTCTCAGGCTAATGTTCAGTTACCTTCCATATAAAACCCAGGCCCACCTGCCTAGGGATTTCACCACTGTGGGTTGGGCCTTCCTACATCAATTAGTAATGAAGAAAATACCCACAGGTCAATCTGATGGAGGAAATTCTTCAATTAAGTTTCCCTTCCCCATCACACCATCCTTTGAAAACCAAAAGCTGTACTGAAACTGGAATACTCACCAGCTAAGACCCTGTCCATATCTGCAAGAGTTATATTGTGGTGATGGAACCTACAGTCTTTTAGAAATCTCCAGAAGTGAAGCTTGGTCATTAGAAAGGTATTATCCAGAGTGTGATCACATCCGAGGCCACTGTAGAAGCAGTAGATTCTTCTTAACTCTGTGATGTTCCTTAGCACAGCATATTCTACCTAAACCCAAGGAAGCATATATGGTTGACTTCTTCCTCATGAGAATAAAGTTATGGGGCTGGAGAGATGGTTCAGCAGTCAAGAGTGCTTGCTGCTCCCACAGAAGACCTGCATTCAGTTCCCAACACCCACACTGGGTGACTCACAACCACCTGCAACTCTACCTCTTGGGGATCCAGTGCCTTCTGGTCTCTACAGGCATTGCACTCCCATACACATACCCACCCACAGACACACAAGATACATATAATTTTTTTAAATAATAAAAATAAATCTTAGGAAAAAAAGAACAAAAACTAAAAGACATAGCACCTCTTCTTAAGGCTAAATGATATCAGTGCATATATCTCATATTTCAGTAAGTGTTTTATTTTGTTCAGTCACAACCAATAAAATGTACTTTGGGTGGGACATGCATGCATGTGGGTGGTGCACATGTGTGTTGTCTTCCTGTATGGCTCTGTTCTTTATTTATTAAGATAGGGTCTCCTGCTGAATCCTGCTGATTCTCCTTGCCAACTCCAGCTACTAACTAGTCAGCTTGCCCAGGGGATTCCCTGTCTCTACCTCAAGTGTGCTGAGATTACAAGTGGCTACTACATCTGGCCTAGTTTTACATGGATTCTGGAGCTCTGAATTCCATCCCTAACGGTTGCTATACAAGGACTTTATGCACTGAGTCATATCCCCAGGCCCATAAAATGTAATTTCTGTAAATAATTTTTAAAAATTTAGTGTGTATGTATGTGTGTGATAGGTCATAGTACACATATGGAGGTCATAGGTTAGTTCTTTCCTTTCATCATATGGGTCCTGGAGATCAAACTCAAGTCATTAGGCTTGGCAGCAAGTGCCTTTAGCCACTGAGCCATCTTGTCAGCCCCATGTAACTTCTAACCATAATAACAGGTGATCTGGAAAATGGAATGCCTTTAAAATGCTACATGATAGCATTCTGTCTCTATGATAGCAATAAAAGTCCTGTTGTCTACAGATTGCATAGTAATCGTTCATGAACATATAGACTCATAACTCCTTGACAAAAGAAACCGAATTCAGTGACACATAATAGCAATACATCAATACTAAGTGGCATTTATCCTGGAATCACAGGGTATTTATTTATTTATTTATTTATTTATTTATTCCCATGTGTTGGGATTACGGGCATGAGCCACCATGCCTGGTGCAAAGCTGATTTTGACAATAGAAAAAAAAATCAAAGCAGCTTACCATATTGATAGATTAAAAAAAAAGAAAAACCATAATTTAATATTTATTCATGATAAGTACCTCTAGCAAATTGGGAATAGAAACTCCTTAACCTGAGCAGCAACACATACATAAAATAAACAGGGTGAGCTTGTGAAATGGGCAACACTGACTGCTTTCCTGACCTCCCTCTGCCCTCAGCTCACCTTTTAGTATTTCCTGTCTCCTGAAATTAGCCAGAAGGGTGTTAAATTCATTGCATGGCCCTTACGGATTTTAAAAACTATTATCATTTTAAAATTATGTATATATTTGTGTGTCTGTGTGTGGGTATGTGCATGTGAGTGCAGGTACCAATGGAGCTGGAGTTGCAGGAGGTTGCAAGGTGCTGGGAACTGAACCCAGGTCCTCTGCAAGAGCCACCATCTTTTTAAAATTTTTAAAACTTTCATTTTTTGGTCTTTTTGAGACAGGGTCTCTCTGTAGCCCCAGCTGTCCTGGAACTCACTATGTAGGCCAGGCTGGCCTTGAACTCACAGAGACTGGGATTAAAGGCGTGTGCCATCACACCCGGCAAGAGCTGCCATCTTAACCACTGAGCCATCGGTCTAGCTCCTCATTGCATGAATTTTGTAATTTGAAATCCAGGCCTAAGATTACCAAAAGCTTTTTCTTGACTTCCAAGTCCTCCCTGATCCTCCTTGCTCTGACCTGACAATGAAGTACTTTTGCCCTTCCGACTGGGGGAAAATCCTCCAGCCTGTGCAGATTATCCTTCTCCAAAACCACTTAGTTCATGCCTCACCCTCTCAGACAAAACATTCAACCCAGGAAGAACAGCATTTAGGGTTCTCTGGGAGGCCAAAAGCCTCTTTAGGCAGCTGCACCACACACCTGTTATTCTTGGCATTAACTCTTGCTTTTACTTATTTTTAATTTTTAAAAAGTTTTTATTTTTAGTTTACATATGTGTGTCTGTGTACTTGAGTGTAGCACCTGTAGAGGTCAGAAGAGGGCATGGAATCCCTGGAACTGGAGTTACAGGTGGATGTGAGCTGCCTGACATGGGTACTGGTCACCAAACTTGGGTCCTCTGCAAGAGCAATATGTGCTCCTAACTGCTGAACCATCTCTCCAGCCTTTAAAATTTTTTTTAAAGATTTGTTTTATTTTTTATTTATGTGTATCTGTGTGGGGGTACCCACAGAGGACAGACGGGGAGTTGGATACCTTGGAACTAGAGTTACAAGTGTTTGTGAGCCATCTGATATGGGTGCTGGGATCTAAACTCCAGTCCTCTAGTAGAGCAGTACTATTAACTGCTGAGCCATCTCCTGAGCCCCTAACTCCTGCTTTTTTAGTCACTTCAAGAAATCTTAAGCCCTATCTAATGCATTGCTTTTAGAGCACAACATCGAATTCACTTTCATGAAGCTTAAAAATCTGGCAATGAGCATAAGACCTAGTAAACAGGTATCAATGGAAGAAGAGAGCTGTGGCAAAGGGAGATGGCTTCTAAATAAGAAGATTCCAGAAGGACATTGTTTTTGAATTGTCTGAGAGAATGGAAGACATAAGGGCTCATGGAGAGCAAGTGCCCCCCAAAAAGTTCAGCCTGGGACAGACAGGGTCAGTTATGTGACCTGGAGTGAGGCTGCCATCCCTCTTTCCCCTAGGCCCTTCTAGGTGACAGTGTGCTGACCCCAGGACCTGCCCCCAGAGACTGCTGGGAGGACTCTGGCTTGAAGGCATGTGAGCCAAGCTCCCTGCGCAAAGCACCTGAGCCAGCCATTGTCATCATGTGAGGTCACGGTCAGGAGTTGGGGGCTGATAGGCAGGCTAGAAGGAGTTGATGTCTGATCACACAGAACATATGGGAAAGGCAAGCAACCGGTGATAAAGACAGTGTGAGGGCTTAGAGGGCCAGAGCATACTTACTTGAGCCTGTTGTGGGTGAAACTAGAATAACAGCAGACAATGAATATAAATAACCATGGAAAATGTATAATTGTTGCATGATTATGGAAAGATTATTATATTTGGGGACCCTGGGAGAAAGGTATAGAAACTGCCTTATGATATTTTCAACTTTTTGTAAGTCTAAAGTCACTTCAAAGTGAAAATAAAGGAAAGGGGCTGAGGATGTAGCTCTGTTGATAGAGTGCTTGCCTAGCAGGTACAAAGCCCTAGGTTCCATTGCTAACACCACATAAACTGGGCGTGTTGGCTCATATCTTTAATCCCAGGACTTGGAAAGTGTAGACAGGAGGAGGATCAGGAGTTGAAGGTCATCCTTGACTACACAGCAAGTTCAAGAGCAGCCTGGGCTACATGAAACCTTGTCTTAAAAAATGAACAAATAGAAGCTGGAGAGATGGCTCAATGGTTAAGAGCACTGGCTGCTTTTGCAGAGAATCCAGGTTCAGTTCCCAGCATCTACATGGCAGCTAACAACTGTCTGTAACTCCAGTTTCAGGGGATACAATGCCTTTTTTATGGTGCACTTACATATATCCAGGCAAAATATTCATAAATACAATATAATAAAATAAAAGTTTAAAAAAATGAATTAACAAAAAACTCTGAAGCCCTAAAATCAACTAGCTAAATGACACATTCATATTATAAAATATTATACAGTTCATTAAAAATGCTTAATCCTAAAGGGCAGAATTATAGGATTATTTCCATTTTGTCATATGTTTTAATAATATTTGAATTTTTACAAATATGTGTCCCTTTTGTGATTAGAAAGTATTAAATATTATATGGATGCCAATATATATTGGTAGTGTTGGGGATTGGATCACTGCTAGACCACTGAGTTACATCCTCAGACCCACATATCTTTAAATACATAATTTTATATGACCCATATATCTTTAAAATAATTTGTTATCGTATATATTTGTTTGGTTTTTGAAACAGGGTCTCCCTGTAGCCCCAGCTAACCTAAAACTCATGATGTAGATAAGGTTGGCCTTGATTTCACAGAGACCTGCTTGCCTGTGCCTTCTCAGTGCTGGGGTTAGAGGCATGCATGAGGAAGTCAGATCCCCTGCAACTGGAGTCATAGATGGTTGTTAGCTGCACTGTGGGTGCTGGGAACTGAACCCAGGTTTTCTGCAAGAACAGCCAGTGCTCTTAACTGTTAAGCCATCTCTTCAGCCCCCAATCCACATATCTTGACATACAGTCCCAAACTGAAAAATGAATGAAACACATAGTACATACATAAAAATACAGAGAGATGGGAGAGGGAGAAAGCAACATAAACAATATGACCCCTTCTTTCTTGGTAAATTAATATATGTTAACCAAAAAATTACACTGCAGGAAACCATTTAATGGCACTGAATAGCTATCATTAAATTCTACATGAAAACAGATATTCCATTTTAAAAATGACTACAGCTTCACGTTTGTGCAAAGTGAAGATGGGACACATAGCTACAAGGTTTTTGTCTGGGCCAAGGTTTCCACAAGCAACATGAGCTCCTTTTGGAATTAGAGAAAGCTGGGAAGGTTCCTGTTTCTAACAAGAACCTGGCAGCAGAATGTTCCTGGGAGCCTCATGTACAGAGTTGGAGCTGGATATGATGGTGTGTACCTATAACTCCAGGGCCCAGACCGAGGCAGGAGGATCATACAATCGAGGACAAGCTTAGGCTATAACAGCAAGAACCTATCTCAAAAACAAAACAAAATACAGTGCTGACCTTGGAATGAAAAACAGGAAGATGGGGATGGGGACAGTTGTCCCTTTTGTGGGCCACAGAAACTGGTCAGATGCCATGGGGCAAAGATGGAATGTGGAGGGACGGGCAATTTCAGCAGTGAACAGTATCTTCCATAGAATTTCATGGGAGAAACAGCAACTTCCAGTCAAAGTAGGGGCCATGGTACCAAAATGTCAACTGGTAGCTATGACTTACTAGATGCGAATCAAATGAGGACAAAATTATTTGTATTTTTTGTAAAGATTTTAAAACAATGTATGTGTATGTGTGTGTGCCTGAATGTATATATGTGCACCATGTGAGTGCAGGTGCCAGCAGAGGCCAGAAGAAGGCATCAAATACCCTGGAGCTGGAGTCACAGGCAATTGTGAGCTACCTGATGTGGGTGCTAGGAACCAAACCTGGGTCCTCTACAAAAGCCGCAAATGTGCTTAACCACCAAGCCATCTCTTCAGGACCAATTTTCTCTGTTTCTAAGTTTAAAAATATTTGGGTTTTTTTTTTTTTTGGCTCTTTATTTTGAAACAGAGGCTCACTATGTAGCCCAGGAGGGCCTTGAATTCATGATCCTTCTGCCTCAGCCTCCTGAATTACAGGTGTGTACAACAATACACATTGGGTTTCTAGATTCCTAAGAGCTCCAAGTTCTTTTGAACCCTAGCAGTCCATAGTAACACACCAGAATTAGAGTTTCCATGAATGGGAAGTGACCACTGCCTTGGTCCTCAGTTGGCTCTGACTGCACAGGCAACCCCTCTGGGTTCTGAGGCCCTGGGTAACCTCACTGAGTCCCACTTCTGGGCTTCGGTTCTCTTACAACGTCTACTCACTTCAGATTGAGATGAACTGGATAAAACATCCACCCGGCACATAGACAACATAGAGTGCCTAAATTATAAATTCACAACAGTACAAGAGGTTTTTACCTGCTTCTTTTCTTCTTCTTGGGTTTCATCAGGGTACATGTTCAGCAACACATTTAGGTCCAGTTCAATACTCGATCCCAACACGGAATGACTTATGCTGCCATCAAGCTTTCGAAGAATCTCTAATGAATGAAGCAAACACAGGGTAATTGTGAAAAGCAACAGTAAATTTTTCTAATGTGGGGCTGGAGAGAGGGCTCAGTGGTAAAGAGTGCTTGTTTTGTGCTAGACAGTTTCAGTTGTCAACTTGACACACCTGCGTAGAGGGAACCTCAACTGAGAAATTGCCTCCATTGGCCTGTGGGCTTGTCTGTGAGACATTTTATTGATTTTTGAGTGATATGGGAAGGCCCAACCCACTGTGAGTGGTGCCACTCCTGGGCAGGTGGTCCAGGGTTATATAAGAAAGCAGGCTGAGCACAGGCCTGGGGAGCAAACCAGTAAGCAGTGTTCCTCCATGGTCTCTGCTTCAGTTTCTGTTTCCAGCCTTGAATTCTTGTCCTGGCTTCCCTCAAGGATGGACTGTATTTTGGAAGTGTAAGATGAAATGAACCCTTTCCTCTCCCAAGTTGCTTTTGGTCAGTGTTTTAAAACAGCAATAGAAAGTAACTAGGACATCGCTCTTTAAGAGGAGCTGACTTTGATTCTCAGCACCCATGTTGGATGATTTATAACTGCCTATAAACCCAGCTCCACAGGATATGGCTCCATCGTCTAGCTTCTGAGAGTACTAGCACACACACACACACACACACACACACACACACACACAAACACACACAAATAAAAATAAAACAAAGCTTTAATTTTTTTGAATTTATTTATTTATTTTTATTTTATGTGTATGAGTGTTATACCTGCATGTGTATAAGTGCACCTGTGTTGTGCAGTACCTGTGGAGGACAGAAGAGGGTGATGGATCCCCTGGAACTAGAGTTACAGATGGTTGTTAGCCCCCATGTCGCTGCTAGAATTTGAACCCAAGTCTTCTGCAAGAGCAGTCAGTGCTCTTAACTACTGAGCCATCTCTCCAGCCCCCCCCAAATTAAAACAAACCTTCAAAAACATTCTTCTAATGTCATGTCATAATGATTTTGTTAGCCAAAACATGATAGAGTTGTATTATTTGACAGCCAGGCATTGTGGTGAGGCTTATAATAACAGCTGTTCCAGAGGCCGAGGCAGTGAGGGACAAGTTCAAGGCCAGCCTACGTGATAGAATGAATTTTTAAATTATTTATTTATTTTTATTTTATATGTATAGGTCTTTTGCCTGCATGTATGTAAGTGCGTCTATACATGTAATGCCTGAATAGGTCAGAGAGGGTGTCACATTCCCTGGAACTGGAGTTAAAGATGGTATTAGCCACCATGTGGGTGCTGTGAACTGAACCCTAGTCCTCTACAAGAGCAGCTAGTGGTCTTAATTGCTTAGCCATCTCTCCAGTCCCTCCAAAATGAGTTTAAGGCCATCCTGGGCAGCTTAGACCCTATATCAAAATTAAAAATTAAGGTTCAGTGAGAAGGCTCAGTTGGTAAAGGCACCTGCCACCAAAGTTAATGGTTTGAGTTCAGTTCCTGAGATCAACATGGTGGAAGGAGAACCAACTCCAGAAAATTGTCCTCTGATCTGTACATACACACACACACACACACACACACACACACACACACACACACAATTAATCAGTTAATTACTGTAATTAAAATTTTTAATTAAAGCCAGGTGTGGTGGTGCATGCCTTTAATCCCAGCATTCGGGAGGCAGAGGCAGGCGGATCTCTGTGAGTTCAAGGCCAGCCTGGTCTACGTAGTGAGTTCCAGGACAGCTGGGGCTACAAGGAGACCCTGTCTCAAAAAGACCAAAAAAATTTTTTTAATTAAAAAGAGATGGGCCAGTCTTTCTTTTTCTTTTAATTAAAACTTTTTAATTTTTAGACAGGGTTTCCCTATAGCTCCAGCTGGCCTGGAACTCGCTATGTAGACCAGGCTGGCCTCAGTCCCTTTGTAAAAGATAATAATAATGAAGGTTGCTATATAGCTAAATGGTGAAGCACTTGTAGTACCCACAGTACTGAAAAAATAAGTATTCAATAGTTGAATACTGATCTGGGAATGTAATTCAGCTGGTAGAGTGCTTGTCTAGCATGCATGAATCCCTGGGTTCAATCACCAGCACTGCATAAAACTTGGCATCATGGGGGATGGAGAGGTGGCTCAGAGGTTAGGAGCACTGTCTGCTCTTGTAGAAAACCCGCTTGTAGATCCCAGCAACCACATAGTGGTTAGCATCCACCCTTAACTCCAGTTTCAGGGGCTCTGACACCCTCTTCTGACCTCCACAGTCACAAGCACACATATGGTGCATTTACATACATGCGGGCAAAACGCTCGTACACATGAAAAAACAAAACAAAACTGGGCATTGTGGCAAACACCTGTCATCCTAGAACTCAGAAAGTGGAGGCAGGAGGAAGTTCAGGGGCATCCTCCTCTGCTATACAGTGAGTTCAATGCCAGCCTGCTTCAAAAAAACCTAAACAAACAAAAATCCCAACCAGCCAAACAAAAACTTAAAGAGTTGCTCACAGGAAGCTTTTGTTTTCTGAAGCATCAGGTGTATTTTCCTGAGTGGAAACCATGAATAATGGATTATTTTGTTTTTTTTCTGATAGGTGAAGTCTCCCTACCAGCACTGATGGAAGATCCCCAAGGCTGCCTGCTCCTTTGGGAGCCATCTGACTGATGGTCCAGATTACATGTGAAATCCATCTCATTGTCCAGGAATTGTACTATGTGATCATTGGAAAACAGACCTTCATATACACGCCCATTCTTGAAAGTTAATCTGCCCTGCAGGTAGGAAAACCATATTTTGCAGTTTGGAAAAGTTTCCTTGGAGGAACATTGATAAATGTACATCAATAGCTTTTTCAAGGGTTTGGAGGTTTTTTGTTTTGAAATGATGTACTTAGTCCATAAAGAATCTGCCCCCGTCAGGTCTCATATCCTCTCTCCTCCTCTTCCTCCTCCTCTTCCTCCTCCTCCTCCTCCTCTTCCTCTTTCTCTTCCTTTCCCCCTCTCCCTTTTCCTCCTCCCCTTCCTCCTCCTCCCCTTCCTCCTCCTCCCTTTCCTCCTCCTCCCCTTCCTCCCCCTCCCTTTTTTCTTTTTCTTTTCCTCTTTCTTCTCCTCTCCCTCCTCCCCTTCTCCTTCCTCTTCCTTTTCCTTCTCCTCCTTTGTCTTCCTCCTCTTAACTTCCTTCTCCACCTCCTCCTTTTCTCCTCCTCTTTTCTTCCTTCTTTTCTTCCTCTTCCTCCTCCCCCTTCCTCTTTCTCTTTTCCTGTCCTCTTTCCCCAATCTCTCCTCTACCCTATAAACTCTCCCCAAATTTAATTACCTCTAGGTCACATAATGGAGCTTATTAACCAGAGATTAATAAGTTCTCTTATTAATTAACTCTTCTGTGATTAACCAGAAGAGTTCCCATCCCAGTAGGGACTCCCCTGCTATTTGGCAAACCCAAGTTAATAGGTATTGACTCTGACGTGGGTAAATGACCCTGTTCAGCTCTGTGAAATGAAAGGCATTTGTGCAGAGCTCTGGGAAAATAGTTTCTTTTGCTCTTCTTAGTGGGGCATGTAGATGTGAAGCTGGAACCCCAGCAGCTATTTTGTAATAATGGGAAAGGGGCAACACCAGGGTGAAGCTATAATAATGGGAGATATGGGCAGAGAAGAGAAATCCTGACATCGCTGAGTCAATGGATCAAACCAGTCAAAAACCCACATTATTATTATACATCAAAGACTAAGCTAGATTGTTACTTGCAATGGAACCAACACCATTGCATATATGCAGATACATACACATATCATATATATTCACTTAACAAAAACTAACTTCTAAATATCTAGGAAATAGATAATATGCTGAAAATACTTTTCAAATTCATGTATTTACCTAACAAAACAGTAAGTTATCTATGCAAAAAGGATCAGATACCACCCACCTTTTATTGTATTTCAACAGCTATACTCACCTTGCCATGCTTTTTATTGGAAACCCATTCTCCCTCATACATTGCTCCACTGGCATAGTAAAACTTCCCATCTCCTTGGCGGTACCCATTTACAAACTCCCCTATGTATTCATTTCTCAATGGATACTGGGAGTTTGGGATTCTCTTTAGGAACCAAGTGTGTGTTCCAAAGCCATTCTGAAAAGAAAGTACATTATTAACATAATATTCCTCGAAATATTCCCTCCTTTTACCTGAATTCATATTATATTAAGGCAAACACACTGATAATTTGAAGGGGCAGAGCACACAAACTTAGAGCCACAGATTGAGTCCAGTCTCAGCTTAGCTGATTACTGACTCATCTTTTGACCTATGTCAAATGATTTAAGCCCTTTAGGTTCTTCAACTATAAAATGGAAATACCACCCACCTAGTAGGTTGGATATAAAGATCAAAGATATATGAGACTGTTACAGAAGACTAAATAATAAAACTTCAATTGAAAAGTATAGCTGAGCCAGGCATGGCACACCTTCAGCCCCAGCACTCAGGAGGCAGAGGCAGGGGAATCTCTTTAAGATTGAGGCCAGGATGGTCTACATAGTGAGTTCCAGGCTAGCTGAGGCTACAGGGAGATGCTGTCTTAAAAAAATGGATACCTGAGACTAATAAATTGTAACTCAAGTTTTATCTTAGTTTCTTTTCTCATACTGCAATAAAATATCCTGACAAAAGCAATTTAGGGAAGAATGGGTTTATTCTGGCTCAGTTTCTGGTTACAGTCCATCACTGAAGTCACATCATCAGGAGCCTGAGACCGCAGAGGCCCAACTCCTAGGTGATTCTACATTTTGTCAAGTTGACAATTAATATTAACCATCACACATTTCTTAACAGTGCTTAAGTGTCGGATTACCACACAGTATTATTCCAGATAGCTGAGTGCAGCACCCACCTCTGGCTGTGACTTGTGTGACGGGCAGGTGCCTACCTGGATTCCTTTTTCCCAGTGACCAGTGTATTCCTCATTAGTTGTCAGCCACCTCATTCTGCCTTCCCCATGGCGCATATTGTTTTCCCACTGACCTTCGTATATGTTTCCAGATTTGTAGCTGGGACCAAAGAAATAAATGAGAAACATTGGTACACACACACACACACACACACACACACACACACACACACAATTTGCCTTTAGGATTCTTAAGCTTACCCTCTCAATTCCTATTGGGAAATTCAACCCAGGACCCAAGACACTGTTCCCAATATTGAAACTCAATGGGTAGGGAGGCACAAGGTGGGAAAAAATATTCTTGTTAGGGAACAAAATAATTCCCCCTTGTTAAACTTCATTATTTTTAAAGGATTCATTTATTTTTAAAGTGTATGTGTTTGTGTCTAAATCTATGTATGTGTACCATGTACATGCAAGTGCCTCCAAGAGGCCAGAAGAAGGCATCAGTCCCTTACAACTGGAGTTACAGCTCATTGTGAGTTGCCCAATGTGGGTGCTGGGAACTAAACCTGGGTCCTTTGCAAGAGCAGCAAGTACTCTTAACCATGGAGTCACCTCTCCAGCCCATCTCTTCATTTTTTAATAAATGGGTAAGAGCAAGGTTTTTATATCTTTTAGGAACAATTCTGATTTTATTATGATTAATATTTTGCCATTAAATTTTGTGTGTATATGTCATTGTGTATGTATATGGCGTGTGCATGCAGTGTGCGTGCATGCATGTAGAGATTCGAGTTTGACGTCGTGTCTTTATTTCATTATTTTATTTTATTTTATTTTTGTCTTTTTGAGACAGGGTCTCCCTGTAGCCCCAGCTGTCCTGGAACTCACTATGTAGACCAGGCTGGCCTGGAACTCACAAAGATCCACCTACCTCTGCCTCCCAAGTGCTGGGATTAAAGGCGTGCGCTACCACACCCGGGTATTTATTTTTTGAGACAGGGTCTTTTACTGAACCTGAAGCTCATCAGTTCAGCTAGCCTGACTGGCCAATGAACTTTAGCCATCCTCTTGTCTTAGCCCCCCCCACCCCCACCCCAGTTCTGGGGTTATAGACACATGCTGCCATGTTCAGCTTTTTACGTGAGCACTGGAAATTTGAACTCAGGTTGTCATTTGTTCACTGCAGGCACTTTACTTTCCACTACCCAGTCCACTACCAAATATTTTAATCCTTAAAAACATTACTCTGGGGCTGGAGAGATGGTTCAGTGGTTAGGAGCCCTGCCTATTATTTCAGAAGACCCAGGTTCAGCTTCCAGCACTCACATGGTGGCCCACAATCACCTGTAACTCTAGTTCAATGGGGTTTGATGCCCTTTTCTGTGGGCACTGCATGCACATGGTGCATAGACATACATGCAGGCAACACTCATAAACCAAAGTCAAATATTTTTTAAAATTATAAAAATACAAAGGACAAGGAAGGTAGCGTCTACTTATAACAAAGTAAAACATACAGTTTAATGTGGTGTTTTCCTAAATTTTCAAAGAATATTTTCATTACTCTGCTGGATAGCTTTAGTTGTCAACTTGACACACCTGGATGGAGGGAGCCTCAGTTGGGGAACTGCCTCCATTGGACTGGCCTGTGGCCATGTCTGTGGGGTATTACTTTTTGTTTTTAAGTGACATGGGAGGGTCCAGCCCACTGTGGGCAGTGCCACCCATGGGTAGGTTATTGTATAAGAAAGCAGGCTAAGCATGGGCCAGGGAGCAAGCCAGTAAGCAGTGTCCTCCATGACCTGTGCTCCAGCTCCTGCTTCCAGGTTCCTGCCCTGAGTTCCTACCTTGGGCTCCCTGAAGAATTATGACCCCGGAGATGTAAGCCATATAAACTCTTTCCTCCCCAGGTTGATATTGGTCAGAGTATTTTGTTACAGCAATGGAGAAACAAACTAGAACAATGGAGAAAATTACCAGGAGTAATTCTTTTTTGTCTTTTGAGACAGATAGGGTCTCCTTATAGCCACAGTTGGTCTAGAACTTGCTATGTAGACCAGGCTGACCTCAATCTCACAGAGATTCTCCTGCCTCTGCCTTCCAAATGCTGGGAATAAAGGAGTGCATCACCACACCCAGATAAATTTTTTATGTGGTATGAGTGTTTTACTTACATGTATGTAAGTGTACCCATGTCATGCCGTGGCCATGGAGGTCAGAAGAGTATGCCAGATCCCCTAGCTACCATGTGGGTGCTGGGAACTGAACCCAGGCCCTCTACAAGAGCAGTAGTGCCATCTCTCCAGCCCCTAGGAATAATTTAAATACTCCACTTTACTTGGACAGAAAGTGTTCTCTGTCATCTCTTCATGTTCTTTTTAGCCTGAGTGAGAATTAAGTGGGTCCGTGAACACCTTTACATCTCCGTCCAGATGTGGAAGCTGTTAACACCTACCGTCTTACTCCCCAGCCAGTTTTGATGTTGTATACCCAGTCTCCCTCATACCAAGAGGTACCCTCTTGGTTGTAATAGATGGAACCCTAAAACAAAACAAATAATATTTTTTTCAAAATATCAAGCCTTGTGACAAATCCTCTTTTAAAGATAAGACACACAAATTTAAGAATTATAAACTATGCAGAAGTCAATGTCATACTTATCAAGACACATTATCCATGGAGCTTCAGTTTTGCAATCCAAGAAAAGGGAAAAGTGGGCTGGGAAGATGGCTCAGTGGGAAAAGCACTTGTCATGTAAGTGTTAGGACCTGAGTTTGGATCCCCACCTAAAAGCCAGGTACAGCAGTGAGAGCATTTGTAATCCTAGCACTCCTATGGGGAGATGGTGGCAGAAGCTGGGGAATCCTGGGAGTTCATAGGCTAAATACACTGGCTTTCGCAGGAATAAACATGAGAGACCCTGCCTCAAACAGGTAGAAGATGAAGACAGACAGACACTCAAGGTTCTCCTCTGGCCTCTACATGCACACTGAGGTGCATGCGTACTTGCACTCACATATGTATGCATGCATAAACACCCAGACTTTAGAAACACATGGGGAGCTGGAGAGATGGCTCAGTGGTTAAGAGCACTGGCTGTTCTTGCAGAGGACCCAGGTTCAATTCTCAGCACCCACATGGCAGCTAACAATTGTCTGTAATTCCAGTTCCAAGGGATTCAATATCCTCTTCTGACCTTCTCAGGCATTGCATGACATGGGTGCACTTACATACATGCAGGCAATACACTCATACACATAAAATAAAAGTAATAAATAAAATATTTTTAAAAAATAAAAAACACATGGTACCCCTTTAATATGTACAATTTTCATGTGCCAGTTTAAAGCATATGTTTAAAAATAAGTTATAATTGGGGGCTGGGTTGATGGTTTACTAGGTTAAAGTGTTTGCCATGAAGTGTGAGGACCTGAGTTTGAATGTCCAGAACCACATAAAAAGCTGGATACAGTAGTGTGAGCACCTGCAATCCTAGCACTCCAATGAGAGATGGGAGATGGAGACGGAAGAATTCTCGGAAGCATATGGACCAAGTATTGTGGTGTACAGAATGGAAAAGCAACAAACTGAAAGGTGAGGACACCCAAGGTGGCCTGTGACTTCCACATGCACACTATGGTATGCTTATACTGACATTAACACACACAGACGTGCACATGCACATGTATACACACATGCACACACAAAGAACAGGGTAAAGCATGTACACCAAGGAAGGACAACACATCACAAACAACCACTATGTGTGTTAGTCAGACGTCTCATCCTCTGTGAGAAAAGCGCCCTCAGAGTCAGTTGAGGGATTCTTTATCTTCTTTCATGGTTTCAGAGACCTCAGTCCATAGTCTTTGGTTCTGTTCATTCTAGGCCAGTGATGAGGCAGGGCATCACTGCAGTAGGATTATGTGGCAGAAGCTGCTCATCTGGTGGCAAACAGGAAGTAGAGAGAGGCAGGAAGGGACCTGGGACAAGATATCCCACAAACACCAACTCCTAGCAACATTCTTCCTCTAGCTTGGTCCCACTTCTTAGTGGGGTGTCCAACTTTTTGACTTTGAGACCTGATATTGCCATCTATAAATGTGTTGGGCCTCATTCATAGCTGCCCTGGGACGCATAGGACCCACAGATCACAGGTTGATCATGCCTGTTTTCAGAAACTCCCTGAACAGGACCATTGGCTAGGGGGTCGGTCCATACATGAGTGTGTGAGGAACATCTTGTATTCAGGCCAACATTCTCCTTAATAAAAAAAGTGTCCCAGGAAGGCATGGAACAGATAAAGAAGTCTTAAGATGGGGTGTGGTGGCTCACACCTATAATCCCAGCACTTTGGAGGTTGAGGCAGGAGAATCACCACAAGTTGGAGGCCAACCTGGGGTACATGCTTAGTTCCTGGCTAGCCTGAACTATAGGGAGACAGCTTGTCTTAAAAAAAGAAAGAAGGAAAGAAAAAAGCTTGGCGTGGTGATATATTCTTTTAATTCTAGCACTTGGGAAACTGAGGCCCATAGATCTCTATGAGATCAAGGCCAGCACGGCCTGCATAGCAAGGTCCAGACCAGCTGGGGCTATAGGGAGACCCTGTCTTAAAAAAATACTGAGGGCCTCAAAGATAGCTCAGCAGAGTAAAGGCTCTTGACTCCAAGTCTTATGACCCGAGTTCTACGCCTGGAACTGACATGGTGGAAAGAAAGGACTCCCATAAAGTGTCCTCTCAAATTGATGGAAATAACTCAGATATCCATCAACAGATGAATAGACAAATTATAGTATATACTTACAGTGAAGTGTCTAAGAGGTAAACCCATTGAAACAGAAAGAAAATTAGTGATTGCTGGGGACATGGAGCAGGATGGATGGGAAGTAACTTCATGATGGGTATGGGTTTTAACTTGGGGTACTGAAGGCTTCGAGACCCAGTAGTGATTATACAATGCTGTGAATGGTTAATCTTATGTCGTGTGCACATTCACTATGGGTGGGACTCTATCATGGGGACGCCTCACTCACCTTCCCATGCCTCTTGCCGTGACACCAGTGGCCAATGTAGGACACAGACTGCGTGCTGCACTTGAACATACCAAATCCGTTCCTCAAGCCATTGCGCACTTCTCCTTCATAGGTGCTGCCATCTGGCCATGTGTACACACCGTGGTTCGTAGGGATGTTCTTCACAAAGTCCCCCTGAGGCAAAATGTCACCTCAGGGTGACAAGAGCAGGCAGGGGGAGGGGGCAGATTCTGTACCCAGGGGCTGTTTGTAGTCTCTGACCACTGATATTGACCCTGGCTCTTCTTTGGTAGCCGTGGGCCTGCCCTTCACTTCCTCGCTCTTCCTTCTCCATGTTTCCCACCCTCTCTCACCCAGTCCCTGCACGGGGTGGAACTCTAGCAGAATGAAATTTCAGAAAGGATGCACTCACACAAAACTCCAAGTAGCAAACTGGTGACCTGGTAATGTGGCTGCCCAACCTTAACTTTAGTATTGTCAGGACCCACCACATAGGATGTCAATCTGCTGCTTCCTGAATGAGCTGTGCCATTAGCCAGGTACTGATCATCTGTATGAAACCTTCTTTCTCCCCACAGTTTATCAAAATGTTCTGTTTATGTGTCTGTCAACAGCCCACCCCATGGGCATATTCTGGAAAACCCACTCTGTGTCTGCAGAGTGAGCAGCTCACAGTGAAGCACACCATGGTCAGAGGATAGCAGATGGTTTTGCTGGTACTGCTGGTGGTGGTACTGGGGAATGAACCTAGGACTCCCACTTGCTAAGCATATGCTCTGCCCAGATTCCAAGAATCTGAACTTACTAGATGTCACAAGTCAGCCAAGGAAAGAGGACAGTACCACCTACTCTGACCACTGGCCCAATGGCAGATGGTGCCACTTGGTTTGACCTGTCTGAGGATGCCTCTGCAAGAGTCAAAATCTTATCCATGGACCCTCTTCACTGGGCTGATTTAGGGGCCTCTGTGCCTGAAAAGGAGGATGCCCAAGTCCCAGAGAGTTTCTAGGGACAGTGAAGCAGAAAGACCTGCCTGGCAAAATTACCATTTGGGCATCAGAAACCTTGACGCTGGTCATAGGTTAGAATGCAAATTGTTGCATGGAAATGGGGTTCCCCAAGAAAGGCTGGCCTAAAACATTGTTGGGGTGGGATCCCAATCCCTCCATGCACTTCTCCATGTCCCAATGCCCAGCTGCCCATGATTTGTCCTTGCCAGGCTGCCATTTGAATACACACATTACATGCACATGTTTCAAATGTCTTCATCACCATTTCTAAACACCATGGCATTAGTGGCTCTGCAGTGGAGATTTTTAGAACAGCATTTTGGGGCACTCCCATGCTTTGTGGATGGGAGTTGAAACTGGCCCAGATTCTTGATGGGAAAATCTGTTCTCACAATCAGTTTAAAAATACCCGCTTCCTCTCAGCCCAGTGGCCCAGATGGGCTATGTGAAATCTCCATAACAGTCAGTAAAAATAGACAGATTTGCAAGGATGGCTATGGATTAATTGCTAAAAAAATTAAATAAAATAAAGGAATGAAAGAGAATGTATAATTAACTGCATTTATAAAAAGCAGGAAGGATTAAGCACATATCTGGTGAGCTGCATATATAGAGATCATACAAAGACCACTGAACCACATGAGTGTGTGTTGTATACACACAGAATACCTCGAGAGTGAAAACAAAACCAGCCACAATGATTCCCGGCCACCTCATGCAGTTGCCAAATTACTCCATTAAACACATGAGTCAGCCACTGTATCCTTCAGTTCTGGGCTAACTTATCTTTTTTTTATTTGTTTTTATTTTTCTGGAATAGGTTCTCACTATGTAGCCCCATGGTGGCCTGAAACTTGAGATCCTCCTGCCTCAGCTTCCCAAATACTGTAATAACAGGTACATGCCACCAGTTCTGGCTATGCTAACTTACTTTTATAAAAATAACATATCTATCCCAGCACTCAGGAAGCAGAGGCAGGCAGATCTCTGTGAGTTCAAGGTCAGCCTGGTCTACAGGGAGATCATGTCTCAAAAAGAAAAAAAAATATATCTAGAGGGCTGGAGAGAGGCCTTAACAGTTATGAGAGCTTACTGCTCTTTCAGAGAATCCTGGTTCGGTTCCCAGCAGGTGGCTCACAGCTGCTTGTCACTCCAGCTCTAGGGATCCAAAGCCCTCTTCTGACCTCTGTGGGTACTTTACTCATGTACACATACATGCAGACACACACACACACATATAATTTAAAAAATAAAAATAAAATCTAAGAAAAAAATAGTGCATCTCACTGTAAGGAATTTACCATTAAATTTCATAATGAATGGTTGAGAACTGTAACTCATGACAATGCTTTACCTCATATTTCATTCCATCAGCCCAAATATATGTCCCTTGTCCATGCATGAGTCCTTCTGAAAACATACCCTACAAAAGAAACAACAGTGAACCCTTAGATGGAAGCTGTGGATGTTAAGCACTTGCTGTCTAGGACTTAGTCACAGGCTGGAACCCTGTCTGCCCTTTAAGCTGCAGCAACGTACTGGCTTCCTAACAGCAGCAGCAGCAGCAGCAGCTCTGAGCCTGTACCACATAGTGATAAATCCTGATCTATAAATTATCCAAGGGGCTGGAGCGATGGCTCAGTGGTTAGAGCACTGGCTGCTCTTGCAGAGGACCTGGGTTTAATTCCCAGAACCCACATGGTGGCCATCTGTAACTCCAGTTCCAGGGAATATGACGCCCTCTTCTGGTCTCTGTGGGCACTGCATGCATGTGATGCACTTATAAGCAAAACACTTATACACATAAAATTAAAAAATAATAAATAAAAATATACAAAGTGATCGTAGGAGGGGTCCGAAACTACCCTAAAACTAATAGATGACTACAGTCATCTTCTCCTAAGTTACTAGAAATCTTCTGAACTATAGTTCAAAATAATTCTAATACTTCTGATTTTATGTTCAATCTTTCAGGATTTGGGGCTAGAGATACAGTTCAGTGGTAGAATGCAAGCTTAGCATGTACAAGGCCCTGAGCTGCATCCCCAGCATCCTTCAAATAAACAAAACAACAGAATACCAAAATAAAACAAATAACAAAACCCTCTAAGGGTGGGTTTTTTGTTTTTGTTTTTTTTTTGTCTTTTTCAGACAGTGTCTCCCTGTAGCCCCAGCTGTCCTGGAACTCACTATGTAGACCAGGCTGGCCTAGAACTCACAGAGATCCACCTGCCTCTGCCTCCTGAGTGCTGGGATTAAAGGCGTGCACCACCACACCCCGCTGGGTGTTTTTTTTTTTTTTTAACAAATTACTTAAACTAGATAGATCCAATAAAACTATTATCTGAATATCAGACATATCACATTTATAAATTTTATGCTTCATTTTCTCTTACTAGAAATTATCAGTATGTATGTGCACATGGGTGTGTACTGATATACACGCACAGACACAGTATATATGTCACTATCACTATCCGTTACTATCCCTGGGGGTTTGGTTCCAGGGACACCCTCCCTCCCAATGGCTACCAAATTCTCTGAATACTTAAGTCCCTCATATAAATGAATGGAGTTTTTTTTGTTTGTTTGTTTTGCTTTTTTACTCTAAAATGGTATGGCACAGGGCTGGAGATGTGGGTCCGTTGATAGAGTCCCTGTCTATCTTGCACGAAGCCCTGGGCTTGATCCCCAGCAATGCGCAAACTCGGTATAGTGGTGGGTGCCTCTAATCCCAGTGCTCAAGAGGTGCAGAAGGATGCCTGCAATCCAGTGCAGGAGGATCAGAAGTTCAAGGTCATCTTTGCCTATATAAAATGGTATAAACATCCTCCCACTTTATTTATTTATTTCTCTCTTGGGTTCTGGGAATCAAAGTCAGAACATCATGTATGTCAAGAACAAATTCTACCATTGAGTTAAAGCCCAGTCCCTCTTCTAATACAATACAGATTCTGTATACATAGTTGTTGTACCGTATCATTTAGGAAATAATTTTTCCTGAGCATTAAAAAATTAGGTGTGCATTTGTGAGCATGGTGTTTGTGTGTCTGGTGTATGCAAATGTGTATGTGTATACATGCATGCACAGAGGTAGGAGGAAGACATGGGTGTGCTGCTTTATCTTGGTCCATCTTATTCCTATGAGTCAGGGTCTTTCATTGAACCTGAAGCTAGTCAAGGCTTGCAGCCAGCAAGCCCCAGTGATCCTCCTATCTCTGCCCCCTACAGTGCTGGGGTGACAGGTGCACTTGTGGTCACTCCCAGTTTATTGTGAGGGTGCTAGGACTGAAACTCAGGTCATCTCCCCAGTCCTCCTGAGTATTTTTATTTTATGTGTATGAGTTTTTCACCTGTATGTATGTAAGTGCACTCATGCTGTGGGATGCCCAAGGCCAGAAGAGAGCATTAGATCTCCTGGAACTGGAGTTAAGGACAGTTAGCCACCACGTGGGTACTGGAAACCAAACATGGGTCCTCTGTGAGAACAGCCAGTGCTTTTTTAACCAGTAAGCCATCTCCCCAGTCCTCCTAACATTCTCAATCTATGCTTGGCTGAGTCTGTGGATATGGAGACCACAGATGTAGGGAGTTGATTGTAGCATTAATTTACATTTAGAGTATCTATGAGAAATGTGTTAAGTCACAAATCTTAACATACCTGCATGCCTAAGCAATGATAAAAGCACATCTAGGTCTTACTTACAATCATTTAGTCAGAAGTAGAATGAGAAATGGGGGAACCAGATGGCTACGGACATGGTACCTCAGTTCTGTGGTTCTTGGACACATTGTGAATGAAAGCCACTTGGAGACCAGTTCAAGCTCAGATAGCTGGGCCCACCTTAGGGTTCCCATTCATCAGCAGCTCTGGGCTGGGACCCAAGAATGTGCATTCCTAAAACATTCTCAGGTGGTACATATAGGGCTGGCCTCAGGGATCATACTTTGAGAACTACAGCCTTAGCTAACTTCAGCATTGTGGAATTGAAGCAGGTAAACGTGGACTCACCACAGATAGGGCTGACACTCGAGCACTGGGCAGCTGCGCAGCAACTTTCACACTGCAAGCAGACTGACCCTAGCTTAGTATTGTGTGTGTGTGTGTGTGTGTGTGTGTGTGTGTAAGCCAGAAGTTGACTTGAGTGTCTCTTTTAGTTACTCTCCACATTATTTTTTGAGACAGGGTGTCCTGGTTTGTTTCTTCATTGCTGTGACAAGTTGACACTAAAGCTATCCAGCACACAGGGTAAAGAGAACAAAAGGCTATATGGGGGCAATTTATGTTTAGACAAGATGGTGCTTATGTGGACATTTGGTATGAGTCAGCTAAAACATGGCTGACATGGAACTTTCGGGTGTTTGACACTAAGTGTCTGAGGAATCCAAAAGTGAGCAGTGCTGTAATGTGTTATATAACTATTCCTGGAAAAATGCCACTTTTGTGTGATTCTGTATGACTGTGACCTTGATGTCAGAGGCTAGTGCACATATCCATACACATACATGCATACATATAAATACTTTTTTAAAATCTAAAAAATTGTTTTATTATAATAAGCACATATTTTGATAAGCTGAATGAATGAATGAATGAATGTCTTCATTGTGGCCTACAAGTAAAAAGTGAAAATACCCTAAAATATTTAATAATTATGGAACAGTTGGGCTTAGCAATTTTGAGCCTTAGCAGCATCAAAAATAACTGGCAGGGGATACAAGGAGTTAGTGTTTCATGAGTACAGTGTTTTAGCTTAGGATGATCAAAATGTTCTGGAGAATGTTAGGGGTGAATGTGCTTAAGGCCACTGGGCTGTCCACTTAAAAAAGGTTAACACAGGCCAGGCGTGGTGGCACACACCTTTAATCTCAGCACTCGGGAGGCAAAGGCAGGCAGATCTCTGTGAGTTCGATGCCAGCCTGGTCTCTATAGCAAATCCAGGTCAGCTGGGGCTACAGGGAGACCCTGTCTCAAAAAGACCAAAAAAAAGTTTAACATAATAAGTGTTATGCATGTTTACAATGCATTAATTTCTTTTTTATTATTTTTATTTTATGTGTATGAGTGTTTTGTCATGTAAGTGCACTGTGTGTGCAATGCCCAAAGAGGCCAGAAGAGGGTGTTGGATCTCCTGGAACTGGAGTTATGGGTGGTTGTTAGCTGCCATGTGGATGCTGGGAATCTAACCTGAGTTCTATGGAAGAACAGTCAGTACTCTTAACTGTTGGCCATCTCTCCAGCCTCCCTGCATCAATTTCTTTAAAATTTAGCTTGTGTATGGGTGGGGTACTTGCATGCCATGTGTGCATGTGGAGGTCAGAGGAGTCAGTTCTTTCTTTCCACAGTGTGGGTCCTGAGGATTGAACTTGGGTCTGCAAGCTTGGTGGCGGGTGTCCTTACCTACAGAGCTATCTTACAATGAATTTAAAAATTTTTGGGTTGATTTACTTTTTAAATATTTTATTTATTTATTTTTATTTTATGTGTATGAGTATATTGCCTGCATGTATGTGAGTACACCTGTGTCATGCAATGCCATGGAGGTCAGAAGAGGGCTTTGGATTCCCCTGGAACTGGAGTTAAGGACGGTTCGTAGCTGCCATGTGGGTGCTGGGAATTGAACCCAGGTCCTCTGCAAGAGCAATCAGTGCTCTTAACCGCTGAGCGATCTCTCCAGACTCAATTTATGTATTTTTATAAGTGTTTTGCCTGCATGTATGTAAATGCACCACCTGTGTGTACAATACCCACAGAGGCCGGAAGAGGGTGTTGGATCCCCTGTAACTTCAGTTAAGGGCTATTGTTAATCACCTTGTGGGTGCTGGGAGCTAAACCAGCTCCAAGGAATTTGATGCCTTCTGCACTCCTTGGGCACCTGCATTCATATGGGTACAAACCCATACACACTTATACTCATAATTTAAAATAAAATAAATCTTTTTTAAAAAATCAAGAAAAGGATGGGCTGGAGAGATGACTCAGGGGTTAAGAACACTAACTGCTCTTACAGAGGACCCAGGTTCAGTTCCCAGTACTCACATGGTGGCTAATAACCATCCATAACTCCAGTTCCAGGGAATCTGATGTCCTCTTCTGACCCCTGCAGGCTTTGCACACACATATGGTGCATTTACATACATGCAGGCAAAATACTCATATACATAAAATAAGAATAATAAATAAAATATCTTTTTAAATTCAGGAAAAGGAAAGAAAAAATGAAACTACTTCAATAATATTGAGTCATTTTTTAAAGTTTTTAAATGTTTTATTATTTTTTAATGTGCAGTAAGTGCACCACATGCATGCAATGCCAGTAGAGACCAGAAGAGGGCATCAGATCTCCTAGAACTGGAGTTACAGGTGGTTGTTAGCTGCCATATGGGTGCTAGGAACTGAACCCAAATCCTCTGCAAGAGCAATCAGTGCTCTTAACCCCTGAGCCATCTCTCCAGTCTATACTGAGTCATATTCTACCTTAAATAGATAGTTGAAATAAATATCAGAATAAAATCAACACAAAGTACTTCCAATGATTTTCAAAGAATCAGGCGACTTCACTAAAGACTTACAAATTGAAAACTCCCACCCCACTCCTTCCTCCCAGCCCTGCTTGTGACTTACATGGTAGGTGTTACCACCTTGAAAGACAGCAAACCCTTCTCCCTCATACAGTCCACGGACTTTCTCTCCTTCATAGCTACAAAGAAATAGAGATCAAGCTCATGAGTGATGTGGATAAGTGTGACTATGGGTTAAATATACAGGTTACCAGGGGTATGTACCTCTTGGTGTGGGATGTCAGGTGTTTAACAGGTGCAGAATTTCTCTTTGGGAAGAGCAAATTCTGGAAATAGAAGTCAATGATAGCAGACATTGTGAATACCCTGAATTATGCATTTTATTCCCATTTTAGTTTGTGACATGCATGTGTGTGCTGTACATGTGTGTACATATGTGTACGTGTATTATGTAGGTGCATATGCATGTGTATGCACATGTAAGTGCTCCAGAATCATTCTTTGCCACCTTATCCATTGAGGTGGGTTTTCTTGATCAAACTCACAACTTGCTGATGTGGCTAGTCTCAGCTTGTGCTGAGGGCCTTGTCTCTTTCCTCTGAAGCTGGAATTACAACAGCTAGCCCCCCCCCCCAGCATTTATGTGGTTTTCTAGGGATCTGAACTCTGGTCTTCATGCTTGCATGGCAATTTCTTTAACCACCAAGCCACCTCCCTAGCCCCTGAGTTATACATTTAAATGGTCAAAAGAGCAAATTTTGTTATGTATGTTTACTTTAAAATGTTTTTCTGGGGAGATGAGGAAAGTGCTTGCCATACAAACATGAGGACCAGACTTCAGATCCCCAGCACCTATGTAAAAGTCAGGTGCACTAGCCCAGGTTTGCCACCCCAGTGCTGGGGGGATGGGGACAGGTGGATCCCTGGAGCTAAATAGCCAGCTAGACTAGCTGAAGAAATGAAATCTCAGTTCAGTGAGAGTATCTCAAAAACAAACACACAAACAACAACAAGAAACCAGTGGAAGTGATTGAAGAAGACACCTAGTGTCAACCTCTGGACTTTCACTATAATATTTTTGCGGGGAGTCGGTAGAGTATTGAGATGGAGTCTCATGTGGCTTGGGGTTGCCTCTAACTCACTATGTTGCTGAGGACGACCTTGAACTCCTGAGCCTCCTGCCTCCACTTTCAAATGTGGGATTACAGATGTGTGTACCATACCCAGTACACTATAAATGGAGGCAGGAGGACAGGGAATTCAAGGTCATCTCCTTCTTCATAGTAATTGTGAAACTTATATAAAACCTTGAAGAAAGAGAAAGGAAGGAAGGAAGGAAGGAAGGAAGGAAGGAAGGAAGGAAGAAAGAAAGGAAGGAAGGAAAAGGGGAAGGGAATGATGGGAGGGGACAGATGGGGAGAAAGGAGAGGGGAGGGGAGAGGGAAGGGGAGAGGGAAAGAAAGAAGGAAGGGAAGGGGAGGGAAAGGAGGGGGAAGGGGAAGAAAGGGAAAGGAGGATAAAGAAAAGAAGGGAAGAAGGAAGGAGAAAAGAAAATGCTTATAAACTACAGTGTGCTGGGCATGGTAGCACACAACTGGAATCCCAACAATTGGAGGTGGAGGCAGAAAGCTCAGGAGTTCAAGGTCATCCTCTCCCCCCAAAACTATTACAGTGATGTATATACATCATATATGTGCGTCAAATAAAGTAATAAATATCATTATACAAAATAGAAAGTGATAGGTACAGCTTGTTGTGGTGACACAGGCATCTAATCTCAGCACTAATGGGCAAAGTTAGGATGAAAAGTCTGAGTTTGAGGCCAACCAAGGCTACATAGTGAGATCCTGTGTCAAAAACAAAACAAGGGCTGGAGAGATGGCTCAGTGGTTAAAAGAACTTGTTGCTCTTGCAAAGGACAAAACCGACTCCCAAAAGTTCTCCTCTAGCCCACGTACACCAACATATGTAACACACACAGAAACAACAACAACAATAAGCTTCAAAACAAAGATAGAGTGACTAGATTCACTGGATGGACAAGTTCTAGGGAACAGTTGGGGGTACCGACACCACAGCAGACAGTAGCAGGGAAGACAGAGTAAAGGGGCTCTAGTGGGGGGAGGGAGGCTATTGGAGGGTGCCATCTGGGAAGTGGGTATATAGATGAATAAAATTGTTTGGGCAAAAAAATTAAAAAGTTTAAAAAATGAGTTATATTTGAGGAGGAAGCATAAAAATTTATATCATGTTAAGTAGTAGAGGTGATAAACACTACCACTGAAATACACAGGTACCAAAGATCCAAGTGCAACTGACCATGACTAGTAATAATCAGATACATACAGATTAGAGACACATGTGCCAACATTTAAGTGTTATTAGCAAAAACAATGAGTCTTTTGTAAGAAACAGTATATTTAAAAATGAAATGGTGATCTTTCTTAAAGGTTAAAAACTCATTCAATCTTATGTCTTACAGGGTTTATACTGAATTCAATATTGTATAACTGTATTAATTCAACTGTGAACCTAAAAATTTTATAGCCATTTTTGAAAGAGATGTATCTTTGCTCTGGAAATTGTTATTGATGTCAAAGCTGTAATGAAATGCTTCTTAAAAAAAAAAGCCCATACTGTACAAGCATGAGGCTTGGACATGAGCATTGATCTCCGGCACATGCATAAAAAAATCTAAGTATGGTGATGCATGCTTATAATTCCAGCTCTGGGATGATAGAGAAAGGATTCCTGGGATTCACTGGGCAGATAGTCTAACTGAATCTGTGATCCCCAGGTTCACTAAGAAACCCCGCCTCCAAAAATAAGGCGGAGAGCCACTGGGGAGGATACTCGACATCAACCTCTGGCCTCTGTATACACATGCATGCACACTCACACCCTCACACAGGAGTTGCTTTTGGAGGTGGGGGAATTGTGTGATCACAAACTGTGTGAGGATTCACATGCCCATGTCAAAACACATGTTCACGTGGCACTTGGTTTGCAGAGTTCTGCCCTGTCATGTCCCCTGACAGTCACCTTTCCACAATGAGTTTGGTCAGGATGGGCTCTTCATACTGAGTTTCATCTTCGTTCTGATAAATATTTGTGGAGTCCCTTTTGGGTGCTGGTTCCTTGGGTGGTGTTTCCACTGGGATGGAAACACCTGTGGCTGGCTCCTGCTTATTGGCACTGCTGTCTTGCTTGGAACCCGCTGGATTTTCAGAATTAGAGGAAGGAGAGTGGCCCAATTTATCGCCTTTCTTGTCTTTTTTCTTTTCTTTCACCATGGCCTTTGGAAGATGTACTTTACTTTATATATAAAATTAATCAATGATTCCTTTGGTGGATCACTGTTTTGCTTCAAAGCATGAATAGGTTTTACCTGAAAAATAGAAATTATGTCTCTAAATACTTGGGGGTTCCTATTGCAAAAAAAAATTAGCCTTAGGTCACAATATCACTATCAGTCTACTGAAGCCTGAATAATTACAAGTATCATCAATTATGTAAGTAATACAATTTGAACATTGCATATTGTTCCTAAAATGTTTAATATTGGAAATATTATAAAACATTATTTTCTTTTTTTGTCTTTTTGAGAGAGGGTTTCCCTGGAGCTCTACCTGGCCTGGAACTCTCTATGTAGACCAGGCTAGCTATGATCTCAGAGAGATCCATCTGCCTCTGCCTCCCAAGTGCTGGGATTAAAGGCATGCGCCACCATGCCCAGCTAACATTATCGTTATCTTGTGTGTGTGCGTGCGTGCGTGCGTGCATGTGTGTGTGTGTGTGTGTACACATTACATAGCATACAAGTGGAAGACAAAGGACAACTTTTGGGACTCAGGTCCCAGGAACTGAACTCATTGGCCTTGGTGGCAAGCCTCTTTACTTGCTGAGTCATTTTGTCTGCCCATGTAACATTCTTTTCAAGTAGTGCTATAGTTAGGAATGGTGATCCTGGGAATGGGGAGATGGCTCAGTGGGTAAAGTTCTTTCTATACAAGCATGAGAACTTGAGTTCAGATCCTCAGTACCCAGGTAAAAAGCAGATGCACTGGCACACATCTGTAGTCCCAGCACTAGGGACTCAGAGACAAGAGGATTCCTAGAGCTCAATCAGCCAGCCTAACTGAATCCGTGAGCTCCAGGTTTTATGTCTAAAACATAAGGTAGGGGCTGGTGAGATGACTCATTGGGTAAAGGCACTTGTTACCAAGCTCAATGACCTGAGTTCAGTCCCTAGAACTCCCATGATGGTATGAGAGAACTGACTCCTAAATGTTGTTTGTCCTCTGACCCCCCACAAGCTTATTGTGTACACGTGCACACACACACAGAATAAATTAAAAAATAAGATGGAAAGTGATTGAGGAAGACACCCAATATTGACTTCTGGCCCCCACATGCACACACAGTGGTATTCATAAACATGCACTCACATGCTCACCCATATGAACACCTGCCTCTGCCTCCCAAGTGCTGGGATTAAAGTTGTGTGCCACCATACCCTGCCCTTGTTAAGGTTATTTTTAAAGTTTTTAAAATGAGTATGCATGTTTGTGTGTCGGTATGAGCACCTGAGTGCAGGTGCCTGCTGAGCTATCTTGCTGGCCCCAATATTTGATTTTAAAAATTGTTTGAGTATAGTCTTTCCCTTCTCCTCCAGTGCTGAAGATTATCAAAGGCATTGTGCATGCTAAGCAAGAACTAAGCAACATTGCCAGCAAAAATTTGTTTGAATTAAGTCTCATAAAAAAATCATTAAATGAATTTCAGCTCAGGGTTAGGTCATAATTTCCAACAATTTCTGAAATGGTCCTGAACATACTGCTTCCATTTTTCACTGTGTATTTATATGAAGCAGCATTCTCAGCATTGATAATTACAAAAGCACAATATGGATCAACTCTGAAAAACACTGAAGGTGTTCTCTGTCTTGCAGTATCAAATATTCAGCTGCTATTTTAAAAAGGAACTTATTTTTATTTTTTAGCTATGTGTATATTTACATATACATTTGTGTGTGTGTGTGTGTGTGTGTGTGTGCATATAAGCGCAGGTGCCTGTGGAGGCCAGGAGCAGGTGCTAGATACCCTAGAGCTGGAGTTATAGGCAGTTTAAGCCATTCTGATATGGGTGTTAGGATATGAACTCCAGTCCTCATGATCAAGCAATAGGCACTTTTTTTTTTTTGGTCTTTTTGAAGCAGGGTCTCCCTGTGGCCCCAGCTATCCTGGAACTATGTAGACTAGGCTGGCCTTGAACTCCGAGATCTGCCTGCCTCTGCCTCCCAAGTGCTGGGACTACAGGCGTGCGCCACCATGCCCAGCTAGCAGGCACTCTTAACAGCTGAGAGATGGTGAGTCAACTCTCCAACCCCAGTATTTAATTTTATGTAAAAATAAACAAGCAGGCTAGAGAGAAGGTACAGTGGGTTAAAGTACTTGCTACCATGCCTGGAAGCCACATGGTGGAAGAACTACTCCTGCAAGTTATCCTCTGACTTCCACACGTGTACCATGGCCCACGCCCCATTAAAAAAAATGTGAAAAAAATATGAAGCTTCAGGGATGGAGAGAAAGCCCAGTGTCTAAGAGTAATTGATGCTCTTCCAGAGGGCCTGAATTCACTTCCCAGCACCCACCTTGGATGGCTCACAACCACCTATAACTCCAGCTCCAGGAAATCCAATGCCCTCGTTTGTCCTCCAGGGCTGTGCACTCACATGCACAATCATACACACAAAGAACATTTTTAAAAATTAAAAAAGCAATCTCAATTGTACACAAATTTGCTTTCATCTTTATTAAATAGCAATAAATGTATACCAAAGAAATGTTTTAAAATAAATTTCATTATGACTATCAGTAAATATTCGTGTAACTGTTTTATACGCCTATATACCCAGGTTCATGCAAAAATTTCTTGGGTAAAAAGAGCCAATGGAAAAAGTTCTAGAAGCCCTATTCTAGAGCATCAACAGAGTGCTTTCACACTACTGAGGCCCTAAGAGAAAGGATTTGCTAAAAATCTGTCCAGAGTTAGAGCTGAGGCAGAGTTCTAAATCCATAATTAGGACTCCCTGAAATTGACCCCACCGAGTATCCTATTCCCTTAGGTAAGATGCATTCTGGTGTGCAAAGCAGTCTGGCCCCTTCTCATGCACCCTGGGGGTGGGTAGAGTGGCAATCCATGCTTGCCTGTCTGATGACCACAAGTTGCCAACTCACAAGGGCCCACCTCAAAGCTACTCACCTCCTCCAAAATCCCCACTTGCTCTTTCCAAGGTTTGGATGAATTTCAGCAAAGCCAGCCTAAGTTGCTCTAGTCTTCACACTTTAACAGGATTCCCTAGGCTTTTTGAGCCTCTACCAATTAAATTCAAACTACAGAAGAAACTTGGCGTCTTAAGTGTTTCCTACACCCCCATCCCCCGCCCTCCCGCCTCCCAGCTATTAGGAAGTAGCTGTATTAAGCACCCTGCTTGTTCTCTGAGCAAGGATCCCCTAGTCAATCACGTACGTGCTCAAGTCTTGGTATGCTGAAGAAGGAACCTGCCTGGGTCCTGGTGTGTGTAGGCAGGACCACTTTAGGGCGCACTGCAAATCCAGGAAGTGGCACGGAGCAGAATCTAGCGTCCCTGGGAGATAAGTGGTTTCCAAGCAACGGGTACAAACCCCGCCCCCCGCCCCCGCATTCTTAAAGGTGCCGGAGCACCAACCCAAGGCTGCAAGACATTCCATTTTGCCCATGCTGATCCTCCAGGTCTGGGTGCACTTGGCCTGGGCTTTCCCAGTTCTACCTGCCATGTGTGCAGCCTCTTTCAACGGGGTTTCTTCACCATACAATAGGTATAATGCAGGCATTAAATCAAACCTGGTGGCTTGAGGCAACACAATTTATTATCTTACACTTCTGTAGGTTACAGATCTGGCTTCTCTGGAGGCTTCCAGAAGTCTGTATCCTCATTTCCAACTTCTGAGAAGCTGTGTTCCATGGCTAGTGGAACCTTCCTCTGCCTTCATGATCAGCAACCCTGCATCTTTGACCAGCTGGGGGAGGGCCCTCCACTCTATTAAAAGAATTCATGTGACATCCCATCAGACTATCCCATCAGACTGACTGTACAGGACAATCTTCCCTGCTAAGATCCTTAATCCCATCTGGAGTCCCTTTTCCATACAAGGTGATAGTCATAGGTTCTAGGGATCAGGGTACAGGCATCTTTGAGGGTCCATGGTGCCTACAACTCCAAATCTGCAGTGTTCCTGTGACTATTAAATGACAGATTCTGCAGGGACAAACCAGCCCAGTTTTTTTTTTTTTTTTGAGACAGGGTCTTGCTATGCAACCCTGACTGGCCTGGTATTCACTATGTAGACCAAGCTGGTCTTGAACTGACAGCAATCCTCCTGCCTCTATCTCTCAAGTGCTGGCATTTATAGGCATGCGCTATACCCAGTATGAGCACAGAGCATGACACTATAAATGTCAATAGCTATTCCTTAACCCTCTCATTACCCTTAAAGCATTTAAAAAATTTTTATTATTTCGGTTTTTGTGTATGAGTGTATTGCCTGTGTGTATCAACTGGACCTGTGTTGTGCAATGCTGTGCAATGCCCATGGAGGTCAGAAGGCAGCGTGAGATCCCCTGGAACTAGAGTTATGGATGGTTGTTAGCTGCCATGTGGGTGCTCGGAATCAAATCTGGGTCCTCTGCAAGAGAAGTCAGCACTCTTAACCACTGAGCCATCTCTCCAGCCCTTAAAGCATTTCTAAACCCAGGCAGACCTCTCTCCCATGAGGCCCGCAGTCTGGAGGAAGGTGGTAAAGGAATTACTCACACTTGTCATCACTGTACCTCCAGTCATTCCCTTCCAACCAGGTACAGAATACTATTTTATTTTTAATTTAATATGCATCAGGATTGAGAACCACGAACTCAACAAGCCCATCATTTTTAATTTGTGAAATTAAAGGAAGTTGGGCCTGCAGGCACACCTCTAATCTCAGAATTTGGGAGATGGAGGCAAGAAGATCAATTCAAGGTCAACCTTGCCTAAGCAAGTTCAAAGCAAACTGGGATACATGAGACCCTGGGGAAGAGAAAGAAAACAAGAAAGTACACAAATATGAATTCAAATATTATTTGTGGGCTGAAAGTTGCAGACTAAAATACCTTCAGCCAGAGTGGAGGCCTGGGTGACTTCCAAGACTTATCTTCGACTGTGTACACACACACACGCACACAAAAACCAAAACCAAAACCACGTGTGCTCAAATATATAACAAAAAGTATTGCAGACAATGCTCCACAGGGCAAAAAGGCTTCAAAGTCTTTTTCTTTGAAATGGAGTCACATTATATAGTCCAGGCTGGTCTCATTCGTGGGCTCAAAGGAGTCCACCACCTCAGTCTTCCAAGTAACTGGGCTAGGGATACATGCCACCACTCTGCTGGTACATTTACACAGCACATTAATTTTTTAAACAACCACCCCCCAAAAGGTTACTTAAAACCCCATCTTTCAAAACAGAAGAATTTACAATAAACTCTGTCCTCCAAGTGGCGAGTATCAGTTCTGAGAAAGGACATCTAGATTGGCAATGTGCCTCATGGTTGGCCTTCCATGGGGACAGTTCCAGGGATGGTCCATCTCACCCATGTGGGTGATGAGCTTTTTCATCTCATTTGTGTTGAGAGCGGTTCCAATCATCACCTGAAGATGAGACAAAATAGTGTGAAGTTTCACTGGGCCTTGTTAAAGAGTCTTCAGAAGCAAGACAAGACCACAGGCTGGAATCATTTTCTGAAGTCTTCCTCAGAATCCTGTCTTCTGACAGCTCAGTGTTCCCCCTTCTGTGGGTTCCTGGCTTCCATGGACATCTCTCAAGACGTGGACCTGACTCAGCCACCATCCCATATCCCTCAGAGGGTTCCACAGGACTGTCCCAAGTGCCTTGTCTCTCTCCTCTCATCCCAGCAACTACAGTGGTTCACAAGTGCCATTTTCTACTCGGCAGCCAGGAATTTTATTATCTAATTATTAAATTTTTTGGTGTGTGTGGTAGGGGAGGGGAGTATTGTGCTCACCTATGCCTAAGTACAGGGAGCCAGAGGTCGATGTTGGTGTCTTTCTCTGCTGCTCTCCATCTTGTATTTTGAGACCTCGAGCCTCTCACTGAAACTGGTGCTCACCATTTTGGCTAGATTGGCTGGCCAGCAAGCCCCAGGATCTACCTGTCTCCACTTCCCAGAGCTGGGATTACAAATGTGTACTACCATTGTCTAACTCTTTTATATGGGTGCTGGAGATCTGAAATCAAGATTTTCATGCCTGCACAGAAAGCACTTTACCCACTTAGCCATCATTCCAGTTCATAATATATTTTTTTAGATAGGGTCTCACTATATAACCCTGGCTGGCCTAGAACTCACTACATAGACCAGGCCACCATTCAACATGATTCTCCTGCCTCTGCCTCCTGAGTGCTGGGACTTCAGATTTAAGTCACCATGCCAGGACATGGGTTGTTTTTAAAAGTCTGTCAGTGGATGAACTTGCACTACAGGACATCTGGGGACACTAACTTGACACGATAGGCCTTAACATAAATGACAGAATGCATGATTTCCAGTAAGGCGGGGAGGCTATGGGAAGGGTGCCAATGGGGAAGGGGGTATAAAGATGATTAAGGTGTTCTGTAGGAAATACATAAAAATTCAATAAAAAAAGTCTGTTAGGTCACTCACTGCTCTTTCCAGCTCTTCCCTCACCTGAACAAAAGCCTAAGTCCTTGCCTAATGTACCAGCACATCCTAGCATGAAGCTTTCTTCCCAGATACACTAACAACCTCACCCTCATGTGCAAGTACATAAAGCAAGCCTCAGGACCGGGGAACTGGAAGTCCCTTTGCTTGGGACTCGCTTTCCCCACATCTTTGCACGTGTCACTTTTCCTTCTTTCAGGCTCTTGCTCAAATGCCCATCCTACTCATAATGAAATAGCTGTTTGTCTCTCACGCTCATCAGCCCTGCTGTCTCCTGGGCATGAAGAGCATTCTGAGAAGCATGTGGAAAGGAATGGACAGTACCACACACCCCAAGATGCTGAGACCATGAGGAACAGGGAGAGGTGGGGATGGAGACAGGCTTGAACCACTGTCATCATCTTTCTGCCTACAGTACACAGAGTAATCACCAGGTGTTGGCATAGTCCTAGAGCTTCGGGTACAGCAGGACTCTGCCATACTAGAGGCGAAAAGACAATAAGCAAGTTAACAGAGAAGCAAGAGAAGTGACACAGAGGGTGACTGGAAGGATCTGCAGACGGAAGGGAGCCAGGCATGTGAAGAACAGAGATGGTGGATCCAGGAAGAGGGAAAGGCAGGCAGAAAGGGCTGAAGGCAGCAGGAGACACAGTGACTGTGGACCTATGTCTGGTTAGAGTAGAGTGAATGAAGAAGGGCTGGAAGGGCAGGCAAGGCTTGGAACACAAGCCATGTGGACTAGGGGTACAGAAGAGATCCCACGAGGATTAATGCCAGAGACAGGAAGGGAGCTACAGTACTGTGCCTGCAGGCCAAGAGTGAAGGAGAGGCCTGTGGCTCCACAGATCTCATTAGAGACACACAATGTTAAAGCACCTGGCTACCAGCACAGACCACCCTGCACTGACACTCACTTGCACTCCAGGATGGGAAATGGGAAGGTCTTCATCAAATAAGTATCTGTAGCTGGAAATCAGATCCTGGGCCCTCTTCTTTGTCTCTGTCTCTATGTGTTTGTGCAAGCTAGGCAAACATACCTCCACACTACAAACAAAACTCTTCCCTGGAGGCTGTCAAGATGGCTCAGAGGGTAAAGCACTTGCTGCAAAAATCTAACCTGAGTTTGATCCCCAAAACCCACATAAATGTGGAGAGTGAAACCGACTCCATGAAGCTGTCCTCTGAAGGGCATCGTGGTGTATGTACACCTTAAAATCCACTCAGGAGGCAGAGGGAAGTCTATCTCTGATAAGCCCAGCTTGGTCTTACATAATGAGTTCCGGCCCTGTCTTCAGAACTCCATGTGTGCGCCAGGGCATGTGTGTGGTCTCTCTTTCACACACAAAATAAAACAAAACTTTTCCCAGCAGTAATTTCACCCAGTCTCAAAGCTATGAATCACACCCAAATCTGACCTGGAGCCCTGACATCTGCAAGCCCCAGACTGCCACATTCTGCTTTTAAAGATTTATTATTTTCAGTAATACTTTATTATTATTGGGGCTGGAGAGGTGGCTCAGCGGTTAAGAGCACTGACTGCTCCTGCAGAGGACCTGGGTTCAATTCACAGCGCCCACATGGTGGCTACAAACTGTCCTTAACTCCAGTTCCAGGGGAATCTGAAGCCCTCTTCTGACCTCCATGGCACTGCACGACATGGGTGCGCTCACATACATGCAGGCAATACACTCATACACATAAAATAAAAATAATAAAGTAAAAAAAATACTTTATTATTTTTATGTGTATGAGTGTTTTGCCTGCATGTATGTAAGTGCAACACATCGGTTGTTTGCCATGTGGGTGCTGGGAACTGAATCCTGGTTCTCTAGAAGAACAGCAAGTGCTCTTAACTGCTGAATCATCTCTCCAGCTCTATTTTTATTATTTTTAATTATGTGTAAATATGTGTGTGTAAATAAGTGCAGATGCCCATGGAGGCCAGAGGCACTAGATCCCCCTGGAGCTGGAGTTATAGCCAGTCGTCAGCCTTTCAACGTGGGTGCTGGGAACCAAACTTGGGTCTTCCATAAAAGTAGTATGTGGTCTTAATCACTGAGTCATCTCTCTAGCCCCAACACATGCTATTTTTACATTCCACTTACTATTGAATGGGATCTCCCACACAACATGCCTACAGCACAGCTCTAACCAAGCACTCCCCAGAGCTGCCTCCCCAACCATTCCATAGGCCTGGCACCTATGGCATTCAGCCCTCACTCCTACTGTAAGCAGTAAGTCTATGGGCTGTCCTCTGGATGGGGCTCTGTTCTCATTTGTCCCTCTTCAGGTACTCAGGCCAGCGGTGGCTTGCTTACTTACTACTTCTACTATTAGGAAAGGTCTTACCTAAGGAGGCTCTATCTCACCTGTCAAGGGAGCTCAGATAGCCACTCATCTCCCTCATTCTTTTGTGGACGCTTCCTCAACATGCATGAATTTCTGCACCTACAGGCATTTGAAGGATCATTTGTTTTTGTCTATTTCTTTTACCCACCTTATTTCTGTATCCCCAACCTGGAACAGGGCAGGTCACACTACAGGGGCTCTAAGAATGTGGCCAGTTGACAGAGTCACTTACTTTATTTGGACACTGGGAAATGCCAGACATTGCTACTACTTTCTACTACCAATTTGAGTGGCACAGGGACACAAGGTCAATGACTGAATGGCTTCACAGGAGCTTTGATGATTATTGTTTCAGCCTGATGGTGGGAAATCTTTCTCAATGCAGGTTGGCATTACCCATAAGGTCTTCAGATGAAGCAAGTGCTTGCAGAGCTAACTGTGCTGAGCTCACACTGCTTAGAAGATGCAGAAAAAGAAGAGGAAGCCTGAGGCAGAGGTCAAAGATAACGCAGGTCTGCTGGCTGTCATACTACACAGATAACGTGGCTCTCTATATAAAATGACATCATGAAGGAGTCTAATATCCACCAAAACAAGAGCTGAACTGAGTGAGAATCTCCTGAAATCTCCAGGTCCCAGGAGTGAACTTTTTTTTTTTTAACTTACAGACTTCCGACAGGCTCGGGAAGCAAACATTTGCCTGACTCTGGAGGGCCGGCACATGACCCCAGGGCTGTCACTTAGCATAAAGATCAGCTCATCTATATCTTGGGGTCCAAAGGTCCAGTTTTTACTAGTTGGCAAAGAAATCAGTTTAGCCCTTTCAGTGACTGGAGCTAGAAGAAAAAAAGCCATTATTTGAGAAATACATTTTAGTATAGTGCTATTTATAATGAACATTTGAACAAAAAAAGAGAGGGCTAGGGCTGGGGCTGGAAAGATGGCTCACCAATTAAGAGCACTTGCTGCTCTTGCAAAGGACCCAAGCTTGGTTCCTAGTACCCACATCGGGCAGCTCACAACTGCCTGTAACTTTGGCTCCAGAGAATCTGACACCCTCTTCTGGCGTCTGGGCACCCACATGCACACACATGCACATATGCAAGCACACACACACACAAAAAGTAGGACCAAGTGAGATGGCTCAGCAGGTAAAGGCATCTGCTGTCAAACCTAACTGAGTTCAATTCCCTCTGGAAGGAGAGAACTGACTTCTACAAGCTGTCCTCTGATCTCCATGGCACGTGCGCACACACACACACACACACACACACACACACACGTGCGTGCACCCAATAAATAAGTAAAATGTTAATAAAAAATTAAAAATTGATAAATAAAAATAAAAAGAGGGCAGACAAATGCTTTAAGGGGGGCTTTTTCATCCTTACAAAATAAAAAGACTGGTCATACGAACTAAAAATTGTTTCTAGCTCTAAAAAAAAAGAAAACAAAAAAAACCCCACACAATTCTACGGTACTATTTAATAACTTACCATCTTCATCAATGACAAAATCAAAGCCATTCTTTCTGAATATTTCCAGATTTTCTATCAGCAAAGCTTCATTGACAGCAGTTAAGTTCAGACTTTGAGGTCTGAAAAACAGGTGATTCAGATTACAAACTGAAGACAAACACCCACCTACAGAGCAGAGATAAAGGGGAAACAGCTCTACTATTATGGTTTAGATACGAAGTATTCCTCAAAAAGGCTCATGTATGTTAGGCCAGGTTCCCAGCTGGAAGCTCTATGGCGAGGTGGCTGGATCATGAAGGCACTAACCCCATCAATGGGTTAATCCACTGATGAGTTCATAGCTCATCAGTGCTGCTAGGTGGTAGAGCCCAGATGGAGTAAGCAGGTCACTGGGGGCCTCTGAAGGGTAAATCTTGTCCCAGACCCTTCTCTCTGCTTTCTGGCTGCCAGGAGGGCACAGTTCTGCTTCACTATGGCCTTTCCGTCATGATGAACTGAAACTTCTGAAACCACCAGTCCAAATAAGCCCTTCTTCCTTCAAGTTGTTTTTCTCAGGTGTTTTGTCATAACAAGGAAAACATGATTCATCCAACTATGATATCTGGCATTCTTATCAAAAACACTGTGAGGAAGGGCCTGCCTGCATTACATAGTTTAAGGCCAGTCTGTACTACACGAGACCCCCATCTCAAACTTAATTAATTTTAAAAAGCCACCTATTCACCCAAGTGTCACAAAACCTCTTGCAGAGATTCTTCTAGTCTTATTTTATTTTTTTGAGACAGGGTCTTTCTATGGCCCCTCCTGGCCTGGAACTCACTATGTAGACCAGGCTGACTTCAATCTCACAGAGATCTGCCTGCCTCTGCCTGCCTCTAAAGGTATGCACTACCATGCCCAGTAATTTTATTTGGTGGGGGTGGTGGTGGACAGGGTCTCATTATATAGACCAGGCTGGTCTCAAACTTGTGATCATCCTGCCTCCATCTCCTAAGTACAGGGTTTATAAGTGTGTACCACTACACCTGGTCTAATATATACTTTCAATTGCCTTTTACCAAGAGGATTTTCTGGCCATTTAGAAAGGACTGATACCTAGAAAACACATTAGCCATGTTTCCCTATACAAGTTATTTAATATCGCTGTATGTGGTTCAGTTTTATCATCTGTGAAATGGTGATGGCAGCAATAAATACCTTCTAGGTTTGTGGGAATTAAAAGAACAAAATAAACTGCTTCAAAAGGACTTACCACACAACAGGCACTCAATAAATGGGAGCTATGACGATGATTATGTAAAAAGTATTAAGATTTGTTGTATGATACCTATAGAAATCCCCACCCACACACATACATATGCACAATGATATAAGCTTTTTGATCTCAAACAGTAGGAGAGATGTGGGAGACAGCAGTGGGAGTCCTGAACCATGTGAGCTCACGTGATGAGCCTCTGTGCCTGGAGCACAGTGTGCTGCTGCAGCATCTCAAAGTTGTACTTCTCATCTGCAGCATGCTGGTCCACCAGGAAGAGGTCCTCCTTCAATTTGGTTACTATAAATCCCAGGTTAAACTGACCCAAGATCTCCATTTCTGCAAACATTGCTTTACTGCAACACAAAACATTAGTTATAAGACATCTTTTGAAGATCATTTTCCTGATTTAAAAAACAGAACACTTAAACAGATAAAGTACTACAAAAAGATAAAACAGAGAAAGTCTCTAATAATTATACATTCTAAATGTAGTATCAAATATTCTTTCAACTCTCCAGATATGACAGTTCTACTATGAACAATATATGCTTCTCCAGGGGCTGAAGAGATGGCTCAACAGTTAAGAATCATTAAAGGTGGCAAACACCTTTAATCCAGGCACTTGGGAGACAGGGGTAGGCAGATCTCTCTGAGATCAAGGAAAGCCTGGTCTACATAGCTGAGTTCTAGGTCAGCTAGGGCTATAAAGAGACAGAGAGACAAAGAGACAGACAGAACACGAACTACTCTTGTGGAGGAACTGAGTTCAGTTCCCAGCACTCCCATCAGGAGGCACACATCCACCTGTAACCCCAGCTCCAGGGGACCTGATGCCGTATTTTGGTCTTTGTGGGCACTGCACTCATAGGTGGCATACACTCATAGACATACATATACATAAATAAATCTTTAAAAATTATGTTTTGGGGTTGGAGAGATGGCTCAGCAGTTAAGAACACTGATTGTTCTTGCAGAAGACCCAGGTTCGAATCCCAGAACCCACATGGCAGCTAACAATTGTCTGTAACTCCAGTTCCAGGGGATCCAACAGCCTCTTCTGTCCTCTGCAGGCATTGCATGACATGGGTGCACTTACCTACATGCAGACAATACACATATACACATAAAATAAAAATAATAAATAAAATATTAAAAGATATGTTTCTAGACCTTTGCTTATACATGAATTTCATTTAAAAAAATGATAATCGAACCATGCACCTCCTACTGCTCTACTTCTATCACTTAACATACCACAGATTCTTTTTTAGATAAACACAAACATAGATCTTTTGTTGTTGTTTAGGCTTTGGAACCCACTACTCCTATTTCACCCTGTAAAATAGCTGGGATTATAAATGCATCATGCCATCAATACCTAGTGTTAGATCTACTAGTTGCTTTTCCTTTTTTTTTTTTTTCCTTTTTGAGACAGAGTCTCACCATAATCTGGCTTTATACGCTCAGTCCTGCCTCAGCTTCCCAAGGACCAGTACTTCATTCTTCTTGACAATCATACTGGAATTCAACGTGCGTGAACCATAGTTTGTTCAACAAATTCTCTGCTGATGGACATTCAGCTGTTTGCAATTTCAGTAATGCAACCCAAAGCAGCAACAAAGAGAAGTGCTCACACAGTCCAGCCTCCAGAGCAAAGCAGAGTGAAGGCAGCATATGTGGAACCAACACTCAATGGGGTACCCAGCAAAGATGCTACCTCCCCAGGCAACTGTCTGAATCTACATCCAGAAGGATGACCTGGAGGAAAAATCTGTGCTGGTCTAATGAACTGAGTCATCAGTGTCTTTGGTAGGTCTATCTTATCCTACAAAAGATAGCACCTCGGGCCAGGACTGGTGGTATATGCCTGTAATGTCAGCACTAAGGACACTGAGGTAAGAGATCACTTGGGCTACATGAAGAGATCCTGTTTCAAAAAAAAGAAAGAAAGAAAACTAACATGAGCTGGGGGTAGTAGCACATGCCTGTAATCCCAGCACTTGGGAGGTAAAGGCAGGAGGATCAGGAGTTCAGCTACACAGTGAGTTTCAGACCAGCCTGGGCTATATGAGACCCTTTCTCAAAAAACCAGAAACAGGACAACTAACATCACATATGTGAAAGGCAAGAAGTTAGTAAATAGAAAAATCCTTGCCACAGCTAGAGAGACGGGTCAGTGGTTAAGGGTGCTTACTGTTCCTCCAGAGGACCTGAGTTTGGTTCCCAGCACCAATGTTGCGTGGCTAACAACTGCCTGTAACTTCAGATCCAGAGGATTTGATGCCCTCCCCTGGCTTCCACAGGCTCTGCATGCACATGCACACATACAAATAAATTAAGAGTAAATACTTTTTAAAAAGAAAAATCCTTGCCACCCAGGAGGAGATTAAAAAGCAAAGCTAACAACCAATCTGTGGAATAAAAATCAATTCAACGTTATAATCTGAGAAGGAAAGCAACAAGGAGGGAGGGAGGGAGGAGATACTGCTAAGTCTACCAGGGACTCATGGAGCCTGTGTTGTAGGGAAGCCTCTGTAGGACTGTCCCCACAGATATCTCAAGACAGAGGAAAGATCCTGGAGCTAGGGAAGGCTACACCTAAGTCCTACACCAGAGAGGAGATACCATCTAAACAGAGCAAGAAATGAAGACAGCCAGACACCCAGAGGAGCCAACATTGAGTCTCTAAAGATCAGCCTCTGATTCACTCAAAATGACAGGTCACAAGCCTTACCAAATCACCATTAAGAACAAATCACAGGAGAAACTGGAGAGATGGCTCAGCAGTTATGTGCACTGGCTGCTTTTGCAGAGAACCCAGGTTCAGTTTCCAGCACCCACATGGAGGCTCACAACTGTCTGTTACTCCAGTTCCAGGAGATATGACACCCTCTCCCGGCCTCCGTGAGCACTGCGTACATGTGGTGCACAACATACACACTGGCCAAACATTCATACACGTAAAATAAATCTTTTAAAAAAAGGACAAACGGTACCTTATCTCTTTTCTGAGTTCATCTTCTGCTGCTTGGTTTTCTCCAGGGCAAATCTTGGCCCTAAATTTCCTGAATTTCCGTTCATTTTCACTTTGTTGTTTTTGGTGTTGTAACTGTTTCATTCGTTTAGTTAAAGAACTCATAGAAAAGTCAAGGGGCACTATTTTCTTACAAATTTTCACAGCTACATCGACCTGAGTTGCTGAGGTGTTCTGAGTATTGAGCAACTTTTGAGAAATGTCAATACTTAAAGACCTTTCTTCTTTTTTGAAACGTTTAGTGTTTGAGGATAAGAGATCAGCTGATGGAGGAAAAGCTCTACATTTATATCCACTGTCTTCTTGGTTCAAATGGCATCCTGCATCTGAAAGATGGCAATCTGATTTAGGTAATTTCTTACCATGGTCCACGTTTTCCTGTGTAAGTCTGTCTTCCGGGGAGCTCACTGTGCAGTCACTGCTGAAGCAACTGCTCATTTCTGGGGTGCTGAACCCTTCATCAGAGCCAGCTGAGGTACTGCTGATCCCTGAATCCTTTTCTGTTTTCACTCTGTCCACACAGTCACCAGGGCTCTCCTCGGCACTCACCAATTTGTCCTGGGAGTCTTGCAGGCCTCTGGAAGAGTTGAGATCCAAAGGACGAGAAGGTAGTACCCCCGTTTTCTGTTTTGGTTTAGGAGTCTCTGGGCTTTGAGACTTGATGTCTGTGGTGTGACGAAGAGAAAACGCCTCTCTCAGCCTAGAGATGGATGCCATCCTTTTCTCTTCTCCTGTGATCTTTAATGAAGGGGAATTATCCTGCTTTCCTGGCAAAGGCTTTTCTATTTCTGCTGCTCGCATCTTTATTACATTACCTAAGCAGGAAGGAACACAGAAGAGTACTGGGGAGTGCACTGAAGGGGACAACAGGATTATTTTTATACAAATAGGCATTTCACAAAGGAGGAAGCCAAACAGCAAATAAAACAGGACACAGGCCAAAAGTCATCACAAAAGGGATATAAATTAAGCCTAAACATGTGCACACCTGTGACCCCACACTGCCATTCCCATTGGAAAGGCCTACCTATGCTGAGCATGGTGATGCACACCTGTAATCGCAGCACTCAGGAACTAAAGTAGGGGGACAGAGTTCCCGGCCAGCCTATGTAACACAGAGATCTGTATCAAAAACACAAAACCAAAAAGAAATACTTATACTCCCTGTAAGATAAGTACAAGGACGCTCAAGACAACTTCCTTCACTGTAGTCCTACACTAGAAACAACTCAAAATATCCACAAAAACTTGTGGTATTTGACTTTAGTGGAATACTGTTTAGCCATGAGAAAGAAAGAATGAATGAATGGTTACAAACGACTCTGATAAATCCCATAAACAAATCACAGGCAAGTATAGACTAAATGATTCTATGGTTACTACTGGGGGGTTTTAGTGAAAGGACCAGGACAGTTCTATCCGAGCTATTTCTTGACCTCAGGGCTCAGACGCTTATAAGCGACATACTATGATATGTTTGTCTTTATGCGATTTTCTCTCTTTCTCTGCCCCCGCCCCCCGTGTTTCTTTCTCTCTTTTGTCTTTTTGAGACAGGGTCTCCCTGTAGTCTCAGCTGGCCTGGAACTCACTATGTAGATGACGCTGGCCTTGAACTTAGAGAGATCTGCCTGCTTCTGCCTCTGGAGTGCTGGGATTAAAGGCATGTACCATCACACCCAGCTTGTACTTATAAAAAAAAGATATTTATTATTTTTTGTTCATGCATGTGTTGCCTGCATGTAAGTAAGTGCACATGTGTTGTATGATGTTCACAGAGGCCAGAAGAGGGTGTCAGAGCCCCTGGAACTGGAGGTACGGACAGTTGTTAGCTGCCATGTGGGTGCTGGGATTTGAACCCAGGTCCTCTGCAAGAGTAGCCAGTGCTCTTAACTGCTGATACATCTCTCTAGCCCCGTAATTATTATATTTCAATAAAATGGCTATAGTATAGGCATGGTAGTGCATGCCTGTAATCCTAGTATATGGGAGGTACAGGCAGGATAGTTCAAAGCCAGCTTTTTGTATACACAGCAGGGACATAATCAAAAAACAAACAAATAAAAAAAAAAAAACCCAAAACAGAAAACAAAACAAAACAAACTCCACCATGACTATAAACCCAGGAATTTACAAGTCCATTTGCCTGCCTTAAGAAAAAATAAGCTTGGAGGTCCAAACTTCTGACCCCCGCAACCTTGATGCTCAATGCAAACAGGAAAGGAAGGCTAAGGCAGAAGTGCTGACTGGTTGGCTCAGTGTTGGAGACACACCTCAATGGGCAGATAGAGCCCCTGAAGAAAGGTGGGGAGACTTAGTGTGTTTGAGCATTTAAAGAAATGTCTTTTCGGGCCTGGCAAGATGCCTCAGTGAGTAAAAGCACTAACAGAGCAAGTCTGATAACCTAAGTTGGAGTCCCTAGAACAGCGTAAAAAAGCTGGATGCAGTCTCTCCTAGCCTGCACTACTATCCTCAGGCCTCTTGGGGTAAGTCTATAGCGCAGCTCTCCGCGCTGGGACTCCCTAAGCCACATTCACCCTTCCATCCCCCGCCCTCGCCGTTCTATACTCCTAGTTTGAGCCCTGCCCCGCCCCTAGTCTTGGGGCCCCAGACACCTGGGGAACCAATACTGCTTCCTGACCCTTCTCACCCAGAGCAACCCAGTCCCTTTCTTGGGCTCCAGGAGCACCACTTCTGGTCCTGGCCCTGCCCTCACCTCGCTCTGCTTCCCTGGGCCTGCACCACCGGCTAACTCTCCTAGCCTGCACTACTATCCTCAG